ACACACTGTTCATTTCCCAGCTCTCCAGGGACTCACCTTCTTAGAACCCTCTCTGAATGGTCTCCCAGGAAGAGCCCCCTGGGTGACGGGGAAGCAGGAGGCACAGGCTGACACCATAACCCACCTGCTGGTTCCCATGTTGCCTCCCAAGCAGTCAGCAAAGCACGGTCTTCCAGACGCTTACAGGCTGGCCAGTGAGACCGGTATGTGCTGGGGTAGCACTGAACTGCTCAAGTTCTCTGTCTGGCAAGTGTTTGTGACTTTTGTGTAACATTGTGACCACATACCAGAGAAAGGCAATCAAAGGGAGCTGGGTTTTCTTGGCTCATGGTTTCAGAGGTTCCAGTCCATAGCCTTTGGCTCCATGGATTTTGGGCTTGTGGGCCCTGGAAAAGAGTAACTGGTGAAGGAAGCATGTGGCAGAGGCTCCTCAGCCCATGACAGGAAACAGAGAGTGGACGGGGCCAGAGACCAGTTACAGTCTTCAAAGGCTTACCACCAGTGGCCTATGCTTTCCAGCGAGGCCCCGACTCCCAAAGCTTCCAACAGCTCTCCAGATAGTGTCACCAGCTGGGAAACAAGCATTTCTATACAAGAGCCTGTGTGGCACACTTCCTATCCAAACCACATCAGTAAAGCTTATGGAACACATCATGTAGCCCAGGTTAGCCTCAAACTTAGTCTTCCTGCCTCAGTCTCTCAAGTGCTGGGATTACAGGAGCATGCAACCATGCCTTGCTCAGGCCTGATTTGTAAAGGTTTGGCAGCTTTGCTTCCCTAGGAAACCAACTAAGGAGAGGAGTCCAGTTTTATTTTGTTTGTAAGAACTCCATGCTATAAGAACGTGTAAGTCATCACATGGAGAGACTGGGGGCGAGGTAGTGATCCAGACAGCTCCACTGCAATGCCACCAGAGTGAAAAAGCCACCTCTGACAGTCCCTGCCTCCCTATATGGTGCTGAAGATCTGCCCAGATGATGAGCCTGGACAACTGTTTAATTGTAACATAACTGTGTGGTGTTGTCACTATGTTTTGGAATGGTTGACCACATAGTAATAGGTAACTTAAGGAGGGCGGAGTTCCTAAAGTCAGAGAGGGATACTAAGGCAGTGCCAAGCCTTAGTATGACCTAAGGGAGATGACCTGGGCAGGTGCTGAGGAAGAGGTCCTCTGTAATCCCCAATCTTGCTTCCGGACCAAGAGATAGAAACCAGAGTAGCAAAAGCTCTCCCATCTGTGTGCAGATCTCAGTCTGGCCTGGGCCACAGGGAACAATAGAGCTCTTCTGGCACTTCAAAGGGGTTGTAGCTCGGGGAGAGGGCCACATATCAGGCAGGGACAGCTTCCCTAGAGTGCTGGGGCTTTGGAGAGAGGCCACCCTAGAGCACCTTCCCAGCCAGCAGACATCTAGAAGCTGCAGGTGGGGGCTCTAGTTTGGGGGACTGCAGTGAGCTCATGTGAGGGATGTCCAGGGACTCCCAGGACCGACCAGCAGAGAGGCTGGGGATCTGTGTTCTTACAGTCACTGGGACCTCTCTGCAGCCCCTCAAAATGTAGGAAGGCCTGAACATGAAAGGAATTCTACCTCTGAGACTGAACTGTTGGTCTAGGAAGGAGGGGCTTTCAAGAGCCAAAAAAGCCTCCAGGGCAAGCAGGGATTTGGACTGAGCCAGGAACTCAGTCAAAAGGAACCATGAGCCTTGAGTGGGCCAAGAACCTCCTCACTACCGTGTGAGAATGAGGCTTCTAGATGGTTCCATGGACCAGGACAGAATGGTGCAAGGGATCCACACAAATAGCAAAATGCCGAAGAGCCTGATCCATGAAGGACTGAGATGCAGTTCAGAGGGTATCGGGGCACCTGCAACTGATTGGAGGTTTGCCCGGGTGGGGGACAGCGGCAAGGTGTGTCTTGAACTAGTGCCTCAGCCAAGGGACCTCGCCTGCCAACTTCCTTCCTAGCTCCAAGGCAGAATGTGGGGCAGTGAGAGGCTGAGCTGCAAAGCGGCCTCCTCCAGGGAGAGATGCAGGAACTCTCTCCTGAGGCAAAGCTGCCCTCACATGCTCAGACTGCCCCCTTTCAGGGTCTGTTCAGTTCCCAAGCCTGGGTTTACCCTCTCTCTGCAAAGCCTGGCTCTTCCCCAGGGTGGGGCTGGTCCACACCCTGCAGCCTCAGTCTCTGCCCACACTCCCGGCCTTCCTCTCCAGCCTCATCTGCATTTAACATGCCTTGTAGGGCTCTGGCAAAGAATACTCAACAGACTCGTATTAAAAATGCCCTTTAAAATTCAAAAGCTTTGAACTAAAGAAATACCTCGAGAAGTTTTCATGGAAAGTTCAGCTCAGTCGGTTCAATTCACTACACTTAGATGCACCTTTTCAAATAATAGGGAAAAAATGTAACAGGGTCAGGCCCAATCAATATGCTTGTTCAAACAGAATTGCGGGGACTGTGATGTGCACACATTTTGTGCTCTGCCTTTGTACCCCGCCACTCGCTCTGAAGAAAGGTTTCTTTGCTAGGGGAGCAATGAAAGTGGTCGCCTTTTGAGCACGGGCGGCAAAGCGCTGGTGTGTTTACCACACAGGGAGGGGCTGCCATTTTCCATGTCTTCCCCAGACTGGTCCCTTTGTTCTTTCCAGAACAACGCGCAAAGCCCCTTGCTAAAGCCCCTGTGTGATGCCGAGTCAGAAGCAGAGGGCTCCTAGCACTGGCCTGCTATGTCTCAGAAATGTGATTTGTGGATTAGACAAATCATTTGCTGCTTCTTTCCCACCCTAGGTGAGAACACAAAAGGACTTACCTCGAGATACTGTGTTGCCACTGTGAGGAAACTCCCAGAGCCCACAACCAACTCCTGTCTGGCTGAGCCCAAGTCTGTATCTACTATCATCGTCTGCCTTCATATGCTGACTATGTGAAGGTCCCTAGAGAACAGACCGAAGGTTCCCCGGTGTTTGGCTGCCACCTAAAATGGCTGGGAAAACTCAAGAATTTCGTTCACCTGAAGACAGCCAAAGCCTTTGAGGGAGGGGAAAGGGGTGCTCCATTTTACAGACCCACAGCCAGACACCAAGGTGGGTGGAAGAGAGTGGCAGTCCTAGGGGCTCAAGTGCGAATTAGGAAGAGATTTTATTCCTCGGTCCTGCTTGACACTTGGCCTTAAAGTGCGTCTGTTGGTTCTTACTAAAATTAGACAAGACAGCCCAGGCCTCACCTGGGACCTGGATTTAAGTCAGAATTAAGAGGTGAGCAGGGCCAGCTAGATGGTTCAGTGGATATGGACGCTTGCCGGCAAGCCTGATGACCAGAGTTTGATCAACACGGTGAAAGGAGAACCAGTTCCTTCAAGCTGTCCCCTGACCTCTGCAGGTGCGTGCACTGTGGCACTCATGCACACACACACAAGAAATTTTCAAAAAAAAAGAGGTGAATAGACACAGGCAGATTCATGTCCCCTTTGTCACTGGTGGTCGCACTGTTTGATACTCTGCTCAGGCCCTGGGGCCTCCCCTAAGGACAGACAGCTGCAGTTTCTGGGCCACATGACATTTCTTGGAGTCATTACCACCCTGGAGTGTATGCAACTCATCAGCCAGCCAGTCTACAGATGGCCTTATCTTAACTTTGTGCATGTATGTTTGTATGTGTGCAGGTGTACATGCATGTAGAGGGCAGAGATCAATGTCAGGTTAGTCTTCTACCTTATTTTTAAGATGGGCTTTCTCACTGAACCTGCAGCTCACACCATCTGGCTAGGCTGGCTGGTCTGAGTGCCCCAGGGATCTTCCTGTCTCCAATTCCCAGACATTGGGATGACAGGCACATGCCACCATACCTGACTCTTTACTTGAGTTCTGGGGACTGAACTCCTGCTGGTACAGCCAGCGCTCTTCTGACCAAGCCATCTCCCCAGCCCCCAGATGGCATCATCTTACTTCAGGCAGCCAGAGTTCTCTCAAGGGCTTGAGATGTGCCAGACCACAGTGCCTCTGCACACACACACACACACACACACACACACACACAACTAGTGTGTGCCTTTGGGTACTTTTCACTGCATTTGACTGGAGGGCTATTGTGCCCTCTGCAGATTGAAATTTAAGCCACGATTCTCCTAGAGCTGTCCATACCTCCTCCCTGATGGAGAGCTCTAGAAACAGCAGCAAGACAGCTGCCACATTCCCCTACACACAGGGCTATAGCTGTGAAACAGAAACCGAGACCCACAATTTGAAACCACCGACTGGTTTTGCTGAGAGACCGGCCACAGATGGCTCCCCTGCAGGGTGGGCATCGCCTCTGTGGGTGTTTCGTTGCTGCTCTGAGGTGACAGCACTCAGTTATAGAATCCCCCCCTCCCCCACTTTCTTCTGTTATGGTGACATTTCCAAATAATGTTTAAAACTACTGAGTGCTTCTTATTTTTAAACGCAAAATGATCAGTGGCGCAGCAGGACCCCTCTACCCACTGGTAATGCCTTGGAAGCTGCGTCCCCAGTTCAAATACTTGGAAAGCTGCTCCAAACCTCGGGTGTGCTTCTTAGCCAGGGAGAAAAGCTGCCCTAACTACAAACTTGGAAACAGGCATGATCCTAAAGCAAACTGGCCGCCTGCCTTCTGCTTCAAGCATACATCACAAGTCAAAATGAATTAAACGCAAATCCAGTTTGCAATGGTTCATCACTAACCAGCCTCACTGGAGTGGGCGGCAGTGTGTGGGTTGGAATGGGCCCATGGTACCCCCTGTGCTGTCTTGGATTAGATTTCGGCTGGCCAGCCAAAACCAGCCCCACATGAGAGTCCACAGCCCCGAGGCTCCTTGACTGGGATGGGACAGGGTGGGGTGGAGAACTCAGGCCTCCAAAGTCACTCAAGTGTCAAGGACTTTTCGTGAGTAGGAGAGGGAGAGTTGATGCTGGGGTTTTCGCAGGAGATGGGAAGGAAGCCACACAGGCCACAGTGAGCAAATACAGTCAGCAGGACACAGGACACAGGTGAGGCTAATGTTTTAATCTGTACATCACATTTTTTTGCAAACCATTACACTTTTATTTAAATTAACTTTTTCTTGCAAAATATTTATCTCATTTTTTTTCCCAACAAAATCTTATAAAGGCAAAAATAAAATTTTATTTTGGCAAATGTCATAAAGTTGATACTGGCAACATACAGAGTTAGTTAAAAATAGACAGCAACTTCTAAATATACTCGATTGTTTTTACCATAGTCAAAGACAAATTTTCATTTAAAGAGTGGCTCCACCCAAAGGAGGATTTTTTTTTTTCCTTTAAATATTCTTTCCTGTATGCAGACTATCATGAGACAACTTAAATAAAGGATCATGAACACTGCCTCCGCCTCATCGGGGGCTGCAAGTCAAGTCTAAGTCCCGCCACGGTGGCCCTGCTGGCCTTTCTCACCAGACAGCCCTAGAGAAGCTGCCTGGGGCTCCCCACAGCCAGCAGCAAAGGTTCCTGTCCTGCCTGGCTGGAGGGATGGTGTGAGCAGACATTTGTATGCAGATACCACCCAATGTGGAATTTATTGCTATGATACCATGTACCGTCCACCTTTCCCCTCTCCATACTGCAGAGGTCGTGGTTTTGTTTTTGTTTTGTTTTTGTTTTTAATTAACGCAAACTCTTTTAAAACTTTTTTTTTCTGAGAACTCTTTGCTGAAGGAACTTCATTGCAGGTTGAAGAACTCAAGGCTCTTGAACACACACAGCTGCTCCTCAATCAGAACCAGGGTGAAGGCACACACGAGCTCCAAGCGCCGTTTGGGTAGGGTTTCCTCCAGAGCTGGGAGTCGGGTCAGGGATGCTGACCTCTGCAGTCAAAGGCCTCCCTGTTCCTGGACAGCCTGTCAGCAAGCCTCAAACTGGAATCCCCCGGAAGCACAATCTCAACTCTAACCTTTGCCCGAGTTCACGGGCAGCTGGGCGTCCCCTGCTCGCCTCCGCCTCTTCCTATCTGCTGCCGTCCCGGGAGTCCTGATTTTGGCTACAAAATCCCACAGGCTTGCCTTTCCGGTCTCCCAGCCCTTAAGGTGAGCGTTATAAAATATATTCTGATTCTAAAATACAGCGTATTTTACATCGTATATCAAAAGTGCCTCTGTTGTCTGTAAAAAGAAATCTGGACTGAAACAAATGGGTGTGTCAGGATGGAACCCCCTGCTCGCCGCTGCGCGCTGGGTGGCTGCTCCCTCCTTCGGCCTGAGCCCTGCCCTGCTGGAAGGCTTTCCTCGGAAGCAGAGAGGTCAGTGTCCTGGAAGATGCTGGTTTCACTCGGCCCTGGCTCCAGACTTCTCTGCATACTGGGTCACGGGTCGGTCACTGCCTGGGCTGCCAAAAGCACAGGAGATAGTGAGAGGCTGGCGAAGCCCCGTTCCACGTCTTCGCACACGCACCCGGGCTGGCACACGGAGCAGCAGGGCGGGGCTTGGGCAAGGCGGCGGCTGTGAGGGACCCTTGCAAGCTTCCAGGGCTTCGCTCTCCTCCCACCTCCGGGAAGTGCGCTGCACACGTGCCAGTCTATAAACTTGCCCTTTGCAATAGGCAAGGTCTAGACAGGATTCTGGGGTAGTAACAGCCTCTGTGAGCCCCGTTTTTCTACTCTCAAAAGACTGATCCCACCTCCACCAGTGAGAAGAGGGCCATGGGTGTGTTCTAGTGCAAGGTGCCAAGAGGCTGGAGCAGATGGAGCCTGTCCCCAGCCTCTGCTCAGATTTCTAGGGAGAAAGCACACACTCAGCTGTGGCCCTAAGTCCTGGAGGCCTTTACAAAGGACAAGTTCCGGCCTCTGCTCCACCCCTCCCAAGGGTGTGGCCCACTGGCTCCGAAGCAGGGGTGGCACCAAGTTGGAGGACTACGGTGCAAAGTCATGCCCCCCTCCCCAACCAAGGCAGTTTACTTTCTTCTGTAGACTCAGAGCTCCTGGGAGGAAGCCCAAAGCAGCCTATGTGCCAGGGGTGTTAGAGAACAAAGGCTGTGGGCTCACACCAAAGGGCTTTGAATCCTGACACTTAAAAGCTTTGACTCTGTGGGCAAGTTCCTGGGGACCCTGAGCTTCATTTCCTCATCTGTAAGGGGGGTGAATATCTTCTTCACAGACTTGTGCAGATCAGAATAGAAGCAGAGCCCCATACCTGGCGCACTGTAGTCCCTCGATAAAGTTAACCGTAAGCCAATAAAGTAAGGCAAGGCGAACACTTTACAAAATGACAGCAAGGCAGACTGTCAGAGAGGGGGCTGGGAGGACCTCCAGTGTGACCCTCCACAGGCCAGGTCAGCTTGCAGCAGGTTCACACGCAGCTGATTTAGGCCATGAATCCATGGCCAGATGCTGGGCCTGCTGGCTCCTGAGGGCCTCCTTCCTTTAACCACTGCCTGTCCTGGCTAGTACTCACAGGGTGGTGCCAAGCATCCTGATGGGTTGAAAGCCAATGGCACTAGCCCCTGCCTCTATCTCCTAAGGCGCTCAGAAAGTAAAAGTGTGGTCCCGGCCTTGCTGTGTGTTCAAGAGTGAGCCCAGCCCCTCACTGGGCCTCAGTTCTGTCTTCTGTAAACCTGGACTTACAGTTCTTTGATCTCTTTGGTTTAGACCCTGACGGACCAACATGCTGGTCTTTGGGGTACCAAGCCGCCCTTGGGAAGGCGGGCAGATGGGTAAGTGCAGCTAGAGCCCTAGCAAGCATGTCTAATCCATGGTTGATGGGCAACGTGTAGCCCAGATCAACTCTGCATGCAACCCAGTATAAAATTGTAAACTTATTAAAATATGGGCTGGACACCCCTGCTGGGGATTTCCGTTGATGTCATCCTCTATTGTAGCAGGGTCCCCGAGGCCCAAGTTCTTAAGAAGCACATCTCCCACTGCCTACCATGTAGGCGGGTCCCCCCAGCGGCCGCGGTGCCAGAGGAAAGAAGCAACAGCAGGCAGCATTGCAGGGGGCTCAGCGGCAGTGGGGAGGGCAGGAGGGGCATGCTAGGGGTGGGCAGCAGCAGGGCAGCCAGGCAGGGGCTCTTACTTGGAAGGTGTTAGACAAAGGTGTAGTGCAGTCCGCTGCTTAAGGGGGGGTAAGGTGGCACCGTCCTGGAGGACAGAGGGGCTTTGGGCGGGAGGAGGGCCAGCTGCTGCACTAGACAGAGCACACAGGAATCAAGCGGTATGTTAGAGTTGTCTGCCCACCCATACCACCACATACCCTGCTTGGCAGGACTGGGTGGCCTGGGCCCCATTGCCCCCAACTAATGGCCTGGCCCTGGGGGCAGATCCACAGGACCTGGCTTGCCTGTAGTTCCTGGAATGTCCTATTCAGGGAATGGAGCAATAGAGAGCAAGGAAAGGTGCTGCGTGAGGTGGGACAGAAGGGTGTCAGGGCTGTGGTGCCTGGTTGAGTAGGAGGAGGCCAAGGGAACAGATCAGGGTGAGAGCAAGCTGGGGATGTAGCTCAGTGAGCAGAAGGCCAGCCTAGCAAACCAGAGGCTCTGGATTCAGTTCCCAGCGCCACCTAGAATGGAGTGTTGGAGGCACACAGAGTGTGCAAGTAGAGCAATGAGAAAGGTCCAGGGCGGGGAGAGGGGAGTTCGCAAGATCCTGAATGATCCCTGGGGTCATCAGGAAGAGAGATCTCCCGAGTCCACAACCACAAAGCACCCCAAGGACCATCCTCAGGCCCCTCTACATGTCTCAAAGACAGCGAGGACAGCAGGGGTTTCAGAGACTCTGGTTTTTATTGTTAGGTTTTGCCTTGTTTTGAGACAGGGTCTCACTGCGGTCCATGCTGGGCTTGAACCTGCTACATAAGTGAGGGTGACCTTGGACTCCTCCTGATCCTCCTGTCTCTACCTCCCTAGTGCTGACATTATGGGTGTCTGTCATCACAGGAGGATGGATTTTCAGGGACTCTATGCATAATCAGGGGATGGGGACAGAGAACAGGCCTCTCTTGAGATCTGGCATCTGCCCTTCTGATCAGTCACTCATACATGGCCTCCTGAGCTCTCACTCAGACTCCCCAGGGCCAGCAGCCACACAGACCTTGGCCACTTGGATTGGAGGACTGGTGGAGACCTGCACCACTTTGGGCTCTCTGACTGTCCTCACCCCAGGAGTACACCTGGCCACCGGTACCACATCCACCAAGGTGGATCAGCCTCTGTATGAGGGAACAAACTACCCCAAGTGGACTGTGAGGGTACTGCAGGGAGCAAGGTGTGGGCGGAGGGAGGAGCCCAGAGCCCTTTTCTGGCAAAAAGTAGTTTTTCATTTCTCTTCGCTTGTTTGTGACAAAGTCTCACTCTGTAGCCTAGGATGCCCCAGAACATAGAGGCAGCAATCCCTATCTCAGTCTCCTGACTGGGACTGCAGACATGCACCACCATGCCTGTCTTAAAGCAACCCTTTTAACACACCCATGTGCTCCTACGCCATGGTGATATTCTTTCAACAAAGTCTCACTTCTGAAGTCCCATCTTCTAGCACGAAGACACTGACAAGGTGAGTGGCTTTGGCTTAGAGACCAAAGTAGGGGGCAGTTCCAAGGAGAGGCTAGAAGAGTTCCCCCTGCCTTACCCCACCGTGAAATTCCTTCTGTCCCCTTCTCCCTAAGGAGAGAAACTTTAGACCTGTCACCTTGGCTCAGAGGCTGACAAGCATGAGGTCAGCTCTCCCTCCCAGACAAGTGACCCTCTACTACAGAGCACACACCCTCAACTGCCAACGACTACTGGCTCTGGGTCAAGCCATACTGGGCCTGAGTATCCATGAGCAGTCAGTGGGAACTGGACCCTGGAGGCTGGCATCCATGGCCTTACCTGCCACCTGCTTGCTACGCTGGGAGGCCTCGGAGGCCAGGGCATAGGAGATGTTGATGATCCGCTCCTGTTCCTGCAGCTGCGAGTCCAGGTCGGCCAGGCTGTTGCGGTCCTGGCCAACAGGCTGCAGGTTGCACATGCTGTGGGAACCAGAGAGCAGACTGTGGGCCTTGATGCCAGGGCCATCGGCCTCACAGGTGGAGTTTCTCCTTGGTGAAGGCAGGGTTCCTTTAAACACTTTGGGGGCATAGATGTACACAGCCTGCTTTCTTCCAAGCCAGAAATGCCCCCTTCTCAAACCCTCATCAATCACAGATCTCTCCTTCCTTTAACGGTCACAGGCTTTAAGTTAAGGGCTCAGTGGGAGGATCTTGAGAATCCAGACATGAAATGGCTGATGGGGCTCTGAAAGGGAAGTTCAGTGACAGAAAAGCCACTTTCTTGGGTCTAAGATCAATGTCTAGGGAAGTGGACAAAGCCCTCAGCACCCTCCAGACAAAGCCAGGCCCCAATTATGGATCTGAGTGAGGAAGCACAGGCCCAAAGGCTCTAGCACCCACTGGACAAGGCTGGGCCCTGGATCTGTGTGAGGGAACATAGGACAAAATGTTAGGAGGACTTTTATTGGAGGTGATCTCAGTGGAGCCCACTTCACTGATGTCTGGCTCCATGTGGCACATTTGCTAGTCACTGGGGACAGATCTGAGGGCAAGGGCTCTTAACTTCAGGGCTTTCCAGGTGACCTAAATGGGCTTTCTCCCTCACCCAAGTATCTGCCTGCCTCCTCCAATCAGAGGCACTCATCTGAGACAAAGCCCAGAAAAATATCAACCAGCCTGGCCCAGGTCCCCTAGGATGAGGACTGTGGACCATCCAGACTTGAGCAAGCAAGGGCTGACCTTGACCGGGCAAGGATGTTGCGGATCTTCTCGGCTTTTCGGTACCGTGCCTGTAGCTCCTCAAGGCTGGGTGGCTCCTCAGGATCCAGTTCCACATACCGCTCGGGGATGGAGACCTTCTCCGGTTTGGCCAGCTGGGGAGAAGAACAGGAGGTGGGGTGGAGGGAACGTGCAGGTGCTCTGCTTTAAGAAGCTTTCCCACCTCTCCCACTATGAAAAAGCAAGCAGAGTCCATAGACGTGAAGTAACTTGCTAGATATCAAAGTAGTCAGTTGTGGAAACAAAACTTCCCCCTGGGCCTGACACCAAAGCCCATGTTCTTTCTGTCACAGCCTCTTAGAGGCCAAGGGAAGTGAAGGGCAAGGCAAGTGATACACTGGGGGCGCTCAGAGGACACACATGATCTTTAGTAACATCCTCAAGACCCAGTGATCTGACCCCTGGGACGTCTCCAGGCATACCCACTCAGCTGGGGCTCCTGTTCATCCACCTAGGGGCTTTGCTTCTGCCCTGTCTAATGGCGCTGAGTAGCCCTTTAGCAAATCCTCTTTAATGGACGGATGATGGATAAAGAATGGCAAGAAGAAAGGATAGCACTCTCTGTCCCACGAAAGCACCTCTGACTGAGGTAAGAGACAGCTCCTCTGTGCCTGCTGCTTTCCAGAGGGAAAACGTCCCAAGCTTCCATCATCTCCCTCCCCCAATGAAAACCCAACTTGGTCAAATTTGTTTGTGTTTGAGACAGTCTCACTGCAGAGCCCTAGCTGGCCTGGAACTTCCTATGTAGACCAGGCTGGCCTTGAACACAGAGATCTACCTGCCTCTGCCTCCCAAGTGCTGGGATTACAGGAGTGTGCCACCACAGCCAGCTGGCTTGGTCAAGTCTTGCTCGGAGCTGTATACTAAAGATAATTTTTGTACTCTCATTAAAATAGGCTTGTTCGAAGCTCTAGGGAAAACCCAGTCTTGGCTTTATCGAGGAGGAAAAAAGTTGAAATGGAGAAGCAGTGGTTTGGGGGACACACAAAACGAAGTCAGAGGGCTGGAAAGATGGCTCTGGTGGTTCTTGCAGAAGACCGGGGCTCAAATCCCAGCACCCACATGACGGCTAACAGTCCATAACTCCAGTTCCAGGGGACCTGACGCCCTCTTTTGCCCTCCTCGAGTACTGCATGACATGGGTGCACTTATATACATGCAGGCAGTATACTCATACACGTAAAATAAAAATAAACAAAATGAAGTCGGGAAACCATTGCTCATCAGGCCTCAGACTCCCTTTGAGTGATTATCTTGACAGGCCAAAGACCTGTCCACAGAATTAAGGGTACCCTTCGGAACACTGTTAACCCTTGCTGACTATTTGTTAGGCAAGGACTTTGGGAACTGAGAGAGGAGGCAGAGTCTCAAAGAGGCAATTTAAGACTTTCAAATGCTAAACTTTCAGCAAGAATCCTCAAATGTTTGTCACTATTTAGTTAAAAATGGACAAGAGGGGATAACAAACTGGCTCACTGGGTAAAAGTGCTTGTTGCCCAGCTTGACGACCTGACTTTGATCCCAGTAGAACCCACACGGTAGAAGGAGAGAAACGACTTCCACTCGTCCTCTGATTTGTGCATGTACACCATGGGGGATAAAACACACACACACACACACACAAATAAAACGAAAAAAAAGATGTAAAAAAAAAGAAACCAATGATAATTTTTAAAGAACCAGAAGAGAGGCTTGGGACATGGAGGTGTTAGGGTTGCTGTCCTCTGATTTGTGCATGTACACCATGGGAGATAAACACACACACACACACACACACACACACACACACACACACAAATAAAACGAAAAAAAAAATGTAAAAAAAAAGAAACCAATGATAATTTTTAAAGAACCAGAAGAGAGGCTTGGGACATGGAGGTGTTAGGGTTGTGGATCAGTTGATGAGGACTTGGCTAGCATACATGAGGCTCTGGGTTCTATCCCCAGCACCACATAAACTGGCCATAGTGATGCACATCTATAATCCCAGTGCTCAGGAGTTACAGACAGGAGGATCGTAAGTTCAAGGTCATCTTCAGCTACATAGGGTGCTCAGGCCAGCTTTGGCTACTTGAGATCCTATCTCAAAACCAAAACACAAGCAAAACCAAACAGAAAAAAAGATGAACTAGCAGCTGGAGAGATGCCTCAGCGGTTAAGAACACTGGCTGTTTTGCAGAGGACCTGGGCTCAGTTCCCAGCACCCACATGGCAGCTAACAACTGTCTGTAACTCCAGTTCCAGGGGATCCAGTGCCCTCTTCTGGCCACCACAGGCACTACATGCAATGGTGCAATTACATGAAGACAAAACACACACACAAAATAAATAAAATATTTTTAAAAAGAGTTCAAGGTCAGGTCTTCTGGCCTCTGCAGGTATGGCATACATGGGTTCACTTATATGCATGTGGCCAAAACACTCATATACATAAAATAAAAATATTTAAAAATAGGTTTGTGAAGACTTTTCTGGATTCTTAAAAAGTCTTTGCTTTATTGAAAATTGTTTCCTTTTTTCCTTTTTTATTCAATCTTTGCAAATTTCATTTATTTTGATCAAATAAGAAGAAGCGTGTCCCTGGAGGTGGGTTTTGAGAGCAGACAGCCACATTCCATTTCCAGTTTGTCTCTCTCTGCTTCCTGGGTGTGTGCGAAGATGTGAGCCGTTAGCTTTCTGCTCCGGCTGCCTCCTGCCATGACGGACTCTTACCCTCTGGAACTGTAAGCCACATAAACTCTTCCTTCTCTAACTTGCCTTGATCATGACGCTTTATCACAGCATCAGAAAAGTAACTCATACAGGGAGGCATCCTAACTTTAGGCCTCCTCACTCAAGGACAGATGTGATTCCCAGTGACAACATCCCTGTCCTCAAACTATTTAGAGACTCAGCTCACAGGCACGGCTGTCCTACAAGACAGATTAACTTGGGCTGGAGAGATGGTTCTGACTCTTCCTTCTCTAACTTGCCTTGATCATGACGCTTTATCACAGCATCAGAAAAGTAACTCATACAGGGAGGCACCCTAACTTTAGGCCTCCTCACTCAAGGACAGATGGAGTGATTCCCAGTGACAACATCCCTGTCCTCAAACTATTTAGAGACTCAGCTCACAGGCACGGCTGTCCTACAAGACAGATTAACTTGGGCTGGAGAGATGGTTCTGTGGGTTAGGATGCCAGCTGCCAAAGCTGAAGACCTGAGTTGATCCTGGAGACCCAGACAGTAGGAGGACAGAGCCAACTCCTGCCAGTTGTCCTCGGACTTCCACACTCATGGACAGATGCTCTCTCACCAAATAACATATTTTATGCTTTGTTTTGTTTGTTTAGACGGGCTCTCCCTGGAGCTCCAGATGGTGTTGGCCTTGATCTCACAGAGATCTGCCTGCCTCTGCCTCACCACCCCCAGCTCAAATAATACATTTTCTTTTTTTTTTTGGTCTTTTTGAGACAGGGTCTCCCTGTCACCCCAGCTGTCCTGGCACTCACTATGTAGACCAGGCTGGCCTTGAACTCTCAGAGATCTGCCTGCCTCTGCCTCCTGAGTGCTGAGATTAACAGCGTGTGCCACCACGCCCGGCTAAAAAAAGTATGTGTATGAGTGTTTTGCCTGCATGTAAGTGTACCACATGTGTGCAATGCCCAAGAAGGCCAGAAGAGGGCATCAGATCCCTTGGACCTGGAGTTACAGATTTAGTTGTCATATGGGTGCTGGGAACAAATCCTGGGTCGTCTGCAAGAGCAGCCAGAGCTGAGCCATATCTCCAGTCCCCAAATAATACATTTGAAAAGGGGAAAGGGTTAACTTTGGCTGTCACCAGTCAGAGTCCCTGCTGAGCTCCTCAGTTTAAAGCTGCTCCATTTTGAAAACCTCTGATCCACTTTTATGACTGCTCAAACTTGTGTTTTTTGAAAATATAACCCTAATTAGCCTCCAAATAGTTTCCTTTTTTTTGACCATGTTGACTTTATTCTCAGTCAAGAAATTTAAGTCCACGTGGTCCTTGTACTTGGTTGAAAGATGTTAAGAAATAAGCTCTACTCTGTTATTCCCAACCAGAGCAGATCTAGAGGAAGGAGGTAGATTACATTCTATCAGGAAGGATGTAGGTTAGAGATAAGGACTTTTTCCCTGGGCAGGCGGGCCAATTAGGACACCCTGGGGCATACTTGGAGGATTCTTTGTGACTGAGAAAGCACAGACTGTTGGATTTCACTGTTTTGGCGTCAGAGAAAAGGTCTGGTGGCAGAGTGCTGGCTGCCAGAGCCCCAGTAGGACCATGAACCCAACAACTCTGAAAGCACCCATTTATCTACAGTGTTTCTTTGTTCTCAGAGACCCCTCTGGGCCACTAGCCATTGCCGAAACTAGCTTGCAAATGGGTCTGCCCTCGTCTCTTGTAAACGGAGGAAGAGAGCTGGGGGTGTAGCCCTGTGGATGTATCACGTAGACACACAGACATCCATGCATGGGAATCCTAAAACAGTAGCACAGACACCATGAGGAAAGCACCCAAGGGATGACTCTCTGTTGAACAGACCTGTGGGGAGATTGACAGGTCCCACTTAGACCCATCCCTCACTTGGAGAACACGCCTTGTGCCGTTTCAGGGCAGGCCAAGACCCTGTACAGAAGTGTTTGGGACACTAATGATTCCTTCAGCAAAGTCTTCTACAAATATTTACAGTGCACCTACTGTGTGCCAGCCTGGTGCTGAGTATACAAAGGTGACCCAAGCAGCCGCTGACTCTGCCTGCTGGCCACAGGAGAGTAAGGATGTCTAGAGCCCTGACTGCTGCTCACTGTGAAGCTTTCTTTCCCTTTTCTGGTTCTTAGGGGCCTGCCCTGTCATGAGGCAAGCATGCCACCAGAGGGTACTAGAAGAATTCAGAACAGAGTATAGAACAGAACTGGAAACACCTGTGATTTTCAAGTCTGCCTGTTTCCTGCCCCATCTGAAAGCCCAAAGCCCATTTGTAAGGACCATCTCTGGTCTGCAGAACATTTTCTAAACCTGTTGGGAACATGCTGAGTCACGTAATCTTCCTACATTCCATTCACCATTGAGGAAACTGAGGACAATTTTTTCTAAATTACAGAATCAGATTTGAACTTTAACAGCTGGATTCCTTTTCCTGTCTCAAGCTGACATCCATTCATCCATCCATCCATCCATCCATCCACTTTCTCACTGCGCATCTGAAGCTGAGCCTTGTCCCTTGTGGGGTTGCAGGTTAAGCCGGGAGCCCGAAGGCCTTATGGGGCCATGAAGGAAGCCCCTGCCCTCACCTCTCTGCTGATGTCCACGTCATAGTCTTGAGGCTCCAGGTCCAACTCAGTGACAGGTGTAGCCTGCACTTTCAGCCAGCCGTTCTTCTCCTTGTCCTTTCTGTCCCCCTGCACAGCCCGCTCCAGCAGCTGCAGGTCAAAGTCCTGCTCTCGCTTCCACTGGCAACAGAACGAGAGGGTTAAGCGCAGTCACTTCCTGTCGGCTCAAGGAGCCACACAGGCCCCGGTCAGACAGGCCCTGCAGGCCTGGAGTCCTTGGAAAGACAGACCTCAGAGAGGCAAGAGAAAAGCTGCTGCTGTACTGCAACATAGAGCAGGGCATCTGCTGGCTGCTCTCCACCTATAAAGGTCACACACATCCCTAGGGCACTGTTGGAGGCTTGCGACTTTAGGCTCATAGCAGTCCACAGGCATCCACAATGTTCCCGGGAATGAGAAGTGAGCCCAAACAGACCCTGGCACAGGGCTCCAAGGGATGGATCTGCCCTTCCTGCTGCCCCAAGAATAACCAAGAGCCTCTCTACTGGGCACTCTCAGCAGGACTGGGTCAGAGCAGGGCACCCATACTCCAGCAAAACTACGGAGTTCCAAATAGGAGCCGGCTGTGGCCAGCATGGGAGACAGACTGCTGTGCAAAGTGGCACCTATTTGGGGCACTTTCTTTTAAAAAGTATTTTATTATTTTTATTTTATGTGTATGAGTGTATTGCCTGCAAGTATGTAAGTACACCTGTGTCATGCAATGCCCTTTTCGTTGGATTCCCTGGAACTGGAATTACAGACGGTTGTTAGCCATCATGTGGTACTGGGACTTGAACTTGGGTCCTCTGTAAGAACAGCAAGAGCTCCTAACTGCTGAGCCATCTCTCCAGCCTATGGGACTGTTTTTTTAATAGAAAAGAAACTAAAGTTGAAACTAAATGTAAAATCAGACGCAATAGTTCCAAGGCTATTTGGCAGTGGCAAACTTTACAAGTGTCTTTTCCCAGGAGGGAAAAACCTAACCCAACCAATTTAAGACCCAGGCATGACTGTCCAGGTCCAACATGGCTTCCAGTCAGACTGAGCCTTTGACCACTGAGCAGGCTCTTAATAGAACAAAGAGTTCTCGCTTGAGCAAGAAAAGAGGATGCTTATGCACCAGGTCATCTCTTCCCTCCCACCCCATCCACCTCACAGAGCCCCAGCAGTCATGGGTGCTTCACACCTGCCCCCCTAAAACCCCATGGCCATAGCCACATCAGCACATTCCACCCATTCATGCACAAGCTCTCCATATTGAACCAGTAGAATCACTCTTGGTGATGGTTTTCCAATTATAGTTTGGAAGAATTAGGCAGTGGAAGTTCAGGGATGAATTAAATGATTCGCAGAGAAAACACACATTTTCTTACATGCTCACAAATACTCCAAATAGAGACAGGTCCTCATTTAAGCCCAGCCTGATTGTTTCCACAAACAGGAAAGGTTCACTGCACTCTACAAAGTACCCAGGGGAAGAACCACGCCAATCCATCAGTCTTAATTAAGCAACATGTTTATTGGCGTTGATGAGACTTACAGAAGCCTTTTTTTTTTAATCCAAAGAAAAATTACAAAGTATTCCAGTTATGATTTTAAGATAATCTCTACATTTGAGAAATCAGGTTGTAAAAGGTCAGTGTTACCCCATATGACATGTACTTATAAAGCTTTAAAGTTAATGGATTTGTAGCTTGTAAAGACATGACTGTCCAGGGTCCTACCCTTTGGTGTCTGAGCTGACAGCTGCAGAGAGGTCCTCTAAGTACATAGTTTATTTTGCTATCCATCCGAGTTACAAAATATCAGAAATGCAAAGAGCTTTTCCTTAAGAAATTGTGTGATGGAACTGGAGGAATTAAGACCAAACAGCCTCAGACTTTGTAGATCTTACTTAGTCGTGCACCCTGAAGTTAATGTCTCCTGTCAGGTGTAAGGCATGGATTCTGATAAATTCACAATGCCCAGACCTCTGCCAATGACGTGGTCCTCAGGCAATGGAGTGGCTTTGGGAATGAGTGAATTGAACCAGTAGACCTGCACCGAGGAGGGCGGTGGGAAGGTGAGCCACATTTGGGGATGCTCACTAGGCTAGGGGAGAGCTGCTAGTACAAGCTTGGTAAGAGAGTACTGGGAGGTTAGAGGAGGCCAATGCAGATCAGAGCATCTGTAAATACAATCAGGCGGGATTAGAGAGACACTGAGCATCAATACTAGAAGCAAAAGAGCTTGTGCAATGAATTAGGGAGAAAGTGGCCAGGCCAGAGGGCTGGGGAAACTCAGGGCTCCGAACTCAAAAGCCTAGTGGAATATTTCTAAAGGGACCCAAGGTGACCAAGGGCAGTACAGTGCCAGCCACCAGGGGGCAGCACCGAAGATCTCCCCAGCCTTCCTGGGCACCTGAGGCCTCAGCACCTCATGCTGTGGGAGACCACCAGCACCTCAGGGTTGGGGCTCCAACCCTTATTCAGTTGCCTCCCCACTCCTCCAGTATTTGTTTGGAAGGCTGGGGAGTTGTCTGTATCTCTCCTCACATCATAGCTCACCTCTTCCTCCTCTATTCCTCGAAGCCTTCATTTCCAAGTCCTTACTTCAGCTGAGGGATCCCAAATGTCCACAGAGGCCCCTCTCATGCTTAGCTAGGAGAACTGACTAGGCCTCTGCTGAGAGGGCCTCCCTCCTGCTCTGCTTCTGGGTCACCCTCTGACCAGCTCGCACATGCATCTGGAGTCATGGACAAATACCCCATAGCATGTTCTCTCAACCAGGCTGGTCACCCTGGGAGGTGACACGCTTGTGTGTGGGGCACTTGGGGAAGCTCTGGCCTCTGTCCCAGCCCCGCCTAACATACTGAGCCAAGATCTCCGGGCAGTGGCTGGTTGAGATATCGGGCCGAGGGCAGGCCTGTCCTCTCTCCTTGGCTCAGGGTCCTCTTGCGCTCCCGGACCAGGGCCTTCTGGTGTCTCTTCATGCGCTCGAGCTGCTCCTCCGCACTCATCTTGCCCCGTTGGTGATCCCCTGAGTACAGGCGCTCCAAGGCACTCTTGGGTCTCTGAGGAGGAGGTGAGGAACATAGAGTGGACCAGCTGGGAGCACTGAGGACATCCTCCCTGCTGATTCTTCCTTGACTTGGTACAGGGTCTCATGGAACCTAGGCCTCCAACTCTATACAGCAAGGGATGATCTTAAACTCCTGATCCTCCCACCTTTACCTCTCCAGTGATGAGATGATATGTATGGGCCACCTAACCTGATTTATACAGTGATGGAAATTGAACCCAAGGCCTCATACATGCTATGTACCCTACCAGCTAAGCCATGTCCCCAGCTCTCTCCCTGCTTTTAGTGTCTTTGCCACAGATACTAGTTGGACTCATCTTGGCTATAGAGAATCACTTCCTCTAAGCACCCTAATGGCCCTGGCCCTCATGAGCTTTCTGGGTAGAGGCAGACACTGATGCCCAGGCCTATCCAGCTGAGTTCACACCCGGCAGTCCAGGGTGAACCAGGCTACGGGCTTCTTGTTCTTCCTCCTATGATTGTGACAGCCTTGGGATAAAAGGGTGTGGTTCTCAGAAAATGGAAAGGGCAGGTAATGGCCTGTGTTGGTGGGCAAGGGGTGACAGAGTCCCTGAATTCCCAAGGGGCTGAGGTCACCCTAAAGGCCATCCTTAGTGCCCTCAGGCTCACTAGTCACTGCCTAGCTCGGGGATCCCCTCTCCGCATGAAGGACAAGGAGCCCTCCACAGCCCAGGCCACTCACAGAGAAGGTCACGTTGCTGTTTTCCACATTCAGACCTCTCCGGAGTGTGACATAGGGAGCAATGGTGGACGACTGCTGGAGCCTGGATGTGGAGCCTGAGAGCCCTTAGCAAGGAAAGAGGAGTCAGGTGTATCTGTGGTGGGGCTGGACAGACCCCAGGCCCTGTCCAATTACCTCCACTCTCACGAGACACCAATAGGGCCCAGTCAAAATCCCACTTTTCTTTCTTTTCTCCTCAGGGCCTAATGAGCCAGGTCCTAGGTCTGGGTGGGGGTTGGCCCAGAGGTAGTCTGTCCTCAGTGGGACCTGTCCCTGCAGATTTGTGAACTACCCTAGCTTTGCTTCATACAGAAGCCTTGGACTGCAGCAGGGAGAAAAGCTGGAGGGACACAAGAACCTTTCATCCCTCTGCTTCCTGGCATTCTCCTGTGCACCCTGTAAAACCCAGCTGGGGATAAGCAGGGAACACAGTGAAGGAGACCACAGGCTCAGGAAAGAACTCAGCAAGGTTGACACAAGAGGAAGAAGTCCTTAGGAAGGTCTGACAGCCTCTGTGGTGGCACCCCAGCACCCCAGCCTGCAGGCTGCAGTGTTCTAGAGCCAGAGCTCTAGGACTGCCGATCAATCAATCGGTACTTGTTTAATTTCTCTGAGACTCAGGATCTTGAGCTCTAAAATGGGACTCACAACATTTCCCTCCCACCACTGGGGAGTACATGATGTTCATATAAAGCACCTAAACAGTGCAAGACTTAAGGGTAATCACTATTGTTTTTCCTGGAGACAGAAAAGGGAGTAAATCAGGATGTTCCTGAGGAGAAAAGAGGGAGGGAAATAGGCCATGGATCAGAGAAAGGCAGACCAGTCTTCCCTCTCAGCAGCCATGGTTAGGTGCAAGCTGTAGGCCAGGGTGTGAGGCCTGGGCAGAGGCAGGGAGTGAGTGGTGTGGTGGGGAGAGAGGTTCCCAAAAGATTCAACAGAGGATCTTGCCGTACCTCTGCCAGGCAGCGTCTGGTACCTGCTCTCAGAGCCCACGAGTCCCAAGGAGGGCGGAGGTACATTCCCACTGAGGCTGGCCAGCTCGGGCTCACTAACATAGGACCGGAGCTCCATCTGTGGACAGAGTCTGAGGCTGTCATACCACTGGCATCACTACTATCTCCCTCTCCACACTCAGTGGGTGACCTCAGTCCTTGTGGCTCACCCTTGAGTCCCCGTTCACACACTGGCCCAGCTCCCGGTCCCGCTTCCTCTCGTCCGATTGTCGCTTGAGGCCCCGCACAGACGTGTGCCGTATGATGGTGGCCTCTCTTGGCAGTGGTGGCACAGCTGGGGGCTGGTCCTCTGGGCTGTAGAGCTCAGGGAGTGGTGGCCTGGGAGGTGCCTCATCTTCCTGCTCAGAAAGAGAACCAGAGCCCATGTCAAGTGAGATGGAGCTGGAAGGAAGGAGGATGTTGTCTGGCACTGTCACATCAGCGGCCACTGCAGAGCCACGGAAAACCAGCACCTCAGCCAGGGATGCTGTGAGGAAGGGGAACACCTCTACCCCAGCTCTCCTCTGATTTGTACACTTTCTAGTTTTCAAAGTGTTACCTGGTGATGCTGTGTCCCCAGCCCCAGGACTTGGATATCCTGGGTCCATACTCTTGACAGAGCATCCTGCTTCCCTGGTGTGCAGGGCAGGGAGGCAGGCTGCTGACTGTTACTTCTCAGCTGATGGAAGCAACCACCCCACGGCACAGACATCTACAGCGCCACAGTGCTCAGCCCGAGCCAGCTCAGCTGCCTTTCTGTGCTGGAGGATCAGTTTACCAGTCTGCATCCTCCAGTTCTTTCTCTAGGAAAAGTGTATCTCTACAAAGCACCCCCTCCCTTCCAACTCAGACTGTACACAAGGGCAGGACAGGTAGCTCACTCCCTGGGTAGCAATGAATGTGACTATGGTCCTTGGTACTCCAAGTTTAAGGTTCTCCTAGGGGCTGTGGCTCCATGCGGCTCCATATCTGGAGAGCAGGCCCAACTGTCAGAAGCACCCACTCATGACCACTGCACCTTCCTCCTCTCTAGCTCTCATTTCCTTACATTGACTTTGTATTCCACAAAATTCAGGAAAGAGTCCAAGCTTTCCAAAGGGTTATCAGAAGATACCAGAATGGAAGCTTGACTATGAACAAGGATTCCACTGACTCAGCTTTCGTGAGTCATCACCCATGCTGGGGTGGGACTTGGTTGTGCTACAGCTGTTTTGGGGTCACTCGTGCTGTAAGTCAGCCCTCACCCCAGCTCCTGTAAGTAAACACAATAAACTCACTGGTTACCAGGCTGGACTTGGGTGGAACTGAAACCATTCCCTTGGTCTGTCAGTGTCCTATCTGAGGTGAATAATGCCTATTCAATCTCCCCAGGAAAATCCACACAGCAGACCCTCAGCCCCTACTTGGCACAGCTTACCACTTGGGGTTTTGACTTGGTTGGTGACTGAAGAGGGGATGTCACGGCTTTCCTCAGCTGGGGTGGGTGAGATCGGTAGGGCACGTAGGTCTGCAGCTGTGGGAAGAGCTGGACCTCCAAAGGGGTCCGCACAGGGCTCGTGGGAGGGCTGGGCTGCAGGGGCGGCTTGGCCTCAGTTGGAGACAGTGAAGGCACGAACGGGTGAGGGAACAAAGGCACCGTTTTTCTCTCTAAGGGTAGAGACAGAAGCGAGTCAAGGATGGCATAAAGACCCTTTTTCAGTGGACAGGCGAGGTAATGCCATCACGGAGACGCAGCCTCTCTGCGGTCATCCCACCTGCCCCACCCTGTCCCCATACCAGAAGATGGCTGGCTGCCTCACCCGGATTTTTGACAGATCCCACCAGGACTCTGTAGTTCTCTTTACTGGCGCTCAGGCCTGCCAGGACATCTTCAATCCTCCACAGATCCTTCTGTATCTGTGACTTCTCCTGGGGAAGGTGGGGGGGGGGTGTCACTTTGGCTCCTCACCAGAACTTTCTTCTGAGGTTTGTACCACCTCTTTAGACAAAGCCCCTCACCCCAATGGATGAGACACCTTTGAAAACCTGCCAGGGCCAGAGCCAAACCTGCTCACAGTCTCCTAGGGAAGCGGACATGGAAAATGCCCACAGACCAGCGAGGAATGTGAGGGAGTGCTGGGGTACGTTCACCGGCTCAGCTGGCCTACTTTACCTAACTTTAAAAATGCATCACCTTAAATACTGGAGAACTCAACCCAAATGATGTATGTAACATCTAGCGTAGTAATGTCACAGAGACAGGAATAAAACAGGGGCGGCCAGGACCAGGGGAGAAGATGGAAGTGGAATACAGACTTTCAGTTTTGCAAGATGGAACATTCTGGAGCTTGGTTGCCCAGCCATGTGAATGGACTTAACATTACTCAAGCTACTCTCAAAAATGGTTAGGATGCCAGGCATGGTAGCACATGCTTTCAATCCCAGCACTAGGAAGCCAGAGGCAGGAAGATCTCTGTGAGTTCCAGGCCAGCATGATATACATAGTGAGTTCCAGGCCAGCCAGGGCTATATAACGAGATCTTGTCTCAAAAAACAAAAAGCGAGACTGGAGAGATGGCTCAGTGGTTAAGAGCACTATCTGCTCTTGCAGAGAACCAGGGTTCAGATCTCAGCACCCACATGGTAGCTAACAACCATCTGTGACTCTAGTTCCAGGGGATCCAATATCCTCATCTGGCCTCTATGGGCACTGCACAACGTGAGTGCACTTACATACATGCAGGTGCAGGTAAAACACTCATACAAATAAAATACACATTAATTAATTAAAACAAAACAGAACAACAAAAAAAGATAAGATAGCCAGGGCTGGGGACACATGCCTACAATCCTAGCATTCAGAAGGCTGAGGTCGGTGGATTCCAAGTTCAGGGTCAGCCTGAGTTATACAGTGAGACCTGTCTCAAAAAACTATGGGCTGGAGATGCACCTCAGTGGTATGGTGCTTACCTAGCATAGTGAGGCCCTGGGTTCAAACTTCAGTCCCAGAATCCGGGTTAAGATGTTAAATTTCATGTGTAGTGATTCATAATTTTTAAAAATATACTGGAGACAGGAAGATGGCTCAGTTGTCAAGCACTTGCCAGCTTAAGAACCTAAAACTGGATCTCCAAAACTCCATGTAACTATAAATGTAATTTCAACCTGGGAAGGCAGAGGCAGGGGATTCCCAGAGCAAACTGACTAACAAGACTAGTCAGTCATATTGGTGAGCACTGGGTTTGACTGAAAGACTGTCTCAATGAGTAAGATGGAAGAGTGACTGAGGATGGGTCCTGACATCAACCTAGGGCCTCTACATGTGTGCGCACACCTGTGTACATGCATCCACACATGTGGCCACACACATGCAAAAGCATGAATACATACAGGCACAGGAAAAGTAGAAAAAGAAATATATATATATATATATATATATACACACACATATATACACTGCCTTATGCAAGCATGGCTAGCTACCATCACTAGAAGATGAAAAAAAATTTAAAAAGTGGAGGACTGAGGAGATGGCTCTAAGCATGACTTCTCTGCAAGTGTGAGGACCTGAGTTTGATCCCCAGCAACCACCAAATAGGCTAAGCATGGCTGTGTGTGTTGGCATCCCCAGTGCTGGGGCGAAGGAGGAAGACAGAGGATTGGTGGGGACACTAGCCAGTCAGTCTAGCCAAACAGCACACAGGGTTAGTCAGAGACCATCTTAAAAAAAAAAATAAGGCTGGAGGGGGCTGCAGGTATGACTCAGTGATTAAAAGTACCTGCTACTCTTGCAGAGGACCCAGGTTTTGTTCCCAGTACCCACACGGCAGCTCACAACTAGCCGTAATTCTAGTTCTAGGGGTTATGACGGTGGACACTGCACACATGTGGTATACATACATACATGCATGCAAAATAGTTACTTGCTTAAAACTTAAAAATATATAAAGTGGAGTGATAGAGGAAGACACCTGACATCCTCCTCTAGCCTCCCCACACATACCTACACATGTACACATACAAAACACACAGTCAGGCGTGGTGGCACACACCTTTAGTCTCAGCACTTGGGAGGCAGAGGCGGATAGATCTCTGTGAGATTGAGGCTAGCCTGGTCTACATAGCGAGTGCCATGCCAACTAGGGCTACAGGGAGACCCTGTCTCAAGACAAAACAGAAACAAACACACACACACACACACACACACACACACACACACACACACCAGCCAGAGCAGAATCCTAGAATTTGAGGCTTAAAAGTACAAAGGAGACTGAGTGTGGTGGCACATGCCCATTGTGGGCCCAGTAGCCCCGAGATGCACCTGATGTGAAAGGCACAGGACCTTATGGGAGTCTCCTGGCACAGGAGGCCTCTGGCATCTGCTGGGAGACTGCTCCAAAGAATCTGGAAGTTTTACACGATTAGCCTTCTATTCGTTCAACATGCATGCATTTTTAAAGGCCTGCTGAATATCACAGCTGAGGCTGGGGTACCACAAGCTCCTGTGCCTCTAACATCAGACGGATCTCAGGGCTGCTGGGCCCATGATGGCTGCACGCTCAGTATTGCACTTGGGCTGCCATAGACGGTCCTACCGTAGACAAGAGCATGCCCAGCTAGAGTGTAAGTAACAGGAGCCGGCCCTGGTGTTGGCGTTCCCAAGCTGAGTGCTGGGAACAGATGACAGAAAGGAATAAAGCTCGGCTCTCCCTCTTCTCAGCTCCCAGCAAAGCTCCCACCCAATTTTCACTTTTTGATACCCCCACAGGAAAGAGAGGAACCAGACTGCAAAGCCTAGAGGTCCTGATCTTTGTCCAAGTGATGGAATTTCACAACTGATGAAGTGAGGAGGCTTTGTGGGAGGAAGGGGGTGTCAGCAGTGTCTTCACACCACACTGGGCAGATGGGCTCTGTGCCACTCTCCACTTTTGGCAGAGGTATGAGTCCCAGGGCAGGTATGAGTCAGGATTGCCTATCACGGCCTCTCACACAGTTCCCCGGAGGCTCTGTCCACTGGCTCCAGTGATGACCTGGGTGTTATGAGGACCTTGAAAATGCAGAGGAAAAGTTGTGAACTTCCTCACTCCCAACCCTGACTGAAAGGAGGTGCTTCTCCAAACCCAGGCGTGCAAATCTGCAGAACTGCAAATGTACTCTGGTGCTGATGACTTGGCTAAAGTCTGTCTGCCTGGATCCATCTAAGCAGTCAGAGGCTGATCAAAACTGGGCTTTATGGCTTCCCAGTGGAAAGAAAGTGTGAGCTAGATCATCTGATGGAGGTGGGCTACCAGGGCTGGCCTATCTGCCAGAGGCTTACAGGAGTCAATCCTCCAAGGAGTCTGACAGACTCTGTTGCGCTCTGGGCCCACTATATATTAAATCATTAAGAAACAAAGCATAGGAACAGAAAGGGCCAATAATCAAGTGAAAACATCTTCAGCTTCCTGGCAGTTAAATGAATGTAAATTAGAACAAGATGATGGGTTTTACTGTTTGCTTGCTTTTTGTCTTGGATGATTTTTTAGTATTTAGGAGGCAAACACTAGCATTAGGAGCCAGTAAGGGCACATTCAGGGCCCATTCATTCAGCGGGAGGGCACTCTAAGGCACCGTTCAGAGGGCAATTTGGCAAGATTTGTCAACTTTTTGTACTAGGAATATTTTAAAGTGATACTTAAAAATACAAAAACTGACCAGGTGCAGTGGTGTACACACGTAAGCTCAGCACTCCACTCAGGTGGGTGTGATAAGGAGGATCAGGAGTTCGTTAGTTACACAGCGAGTTGGACGCCAGCCTGGGCTATATGAGACCCCGTCTCAACAAACCAAAGCAAATAAATAGCTGCACATATTGATGGGACACCGTAGGCTGCTTGGATACCTACACACTGAATAACATTTAAAATGGCAAGCATGTCTATCATTTCTTTTTGATGAAATATTCAAAATGCATTTCTTGGGGTTGGAGAGATGGCTCAGTGGTTAAGAGCACTGGCTGTTGTTGCAGAAGACCCAGGTTCAGTTCCCAGCACCCATATGGTGGCTAACAACCATCCCTAACTCCAGTTCCAGGGTATTCCATGTCCTCTTCTGACCCCCATGGGCACTGCATGACATGGGTACACTTATACACATGCAGGCAATACACTCATACACATAAAATAAAAATCATAAAATAAAAGAAAGGCACTTACTTCAGCCTAAAAGGCTTGCTTCTAGGAATCTGTTCTAGATAAATGCTTATGAGGGGGATGCTCCTAAACCGAGCCACTTATAAAAGGAAAACACTGTAAATAATCTTGGGGCTGTGCCGGCCAGATGTGCAGCCAAGCCCAATAGCCCATTTTTGATCCCCAGGACCCACGTGATAGGAGAAAACCAACTCACAAGTTGTTCTTTGATGTCATGCACACACCATGGCAGAAGCACAAACATGCATACACACAAAATAAATAAAACGTAATAAAACATAACATCAGTAACCAGAGGAGAACTGGATAAATAGAGAATATCAATGCTTTGCAATAGCAGGTGGTAATTAAGAACCAATTTACTTTGACAGGTACTGTCCATACAACTTTCAGAGATTGTGGAAATCTGTGCTGTCTTCTAAAGTAGTCACAAGCCACACGTGCCTACTGACCACTCAAGAGGGGTCCAGTATGAATGAGAAAATAATTTGCATAATTTGTATTTGAATAGTTTGAAATTTATATTTAACAGCTATTTTATTTTCAGATTCTGAAAAGATTTCCACAACATAAAATTGTGACAAAAAAGCAATTTGTCAAACAGTATGTAGGTGTGACCCTCTTTAACCCTTTTACCTGCTCCAAATCCCAAATAAATGATCTGATTCTATGCAGGTACATGTTTGAAAGTGGATAGAAGATGGTCAGGAGTCAACCTTGCAGACTGGTAGCACCCACAGCATGTAGGGCAGGTGGCGGGAATGTGAGGCTACAGTGGGGTGCGGTAGGGCACTGGGAGAGCCTTTGCTTTTAAACTCACTTTATGGTTTTGTTTCTGTTTTCCCTTTTTAAAGTAGAGGACTCATACAGAAGGAGGAAGGGAGAGGGAGAGAGGGAGAGAGAGATAGTTAGTTTAGACAGTCTCATTAGCCCTGGCCAGCCTCAAACTCACTACATAGCTGAGTGTAACCTTGAACTTCTGATTTCCCTATCTCCACCTTCCAAGTGCTGGGATTACAGATGTGCATTCCAAGTGCTTGTGTAGTGCTTGGGATGGGACCCAGAGAGTCATGCATTCTAGGCACGCACTTTACCCACAGAACTATATCCTGAGCTCTTAATTGTGTAATGATAGGAAATAATGGTTAAGCACCTATAAAGCCACTGCTAAAACGGGCCGGACCACTGAAGCCCAAGAAGGGAGGTGTGAAAGGACAGGATGGTTCCAGAAAGTAGAAACGAGAGGAACAACAGTCACCTAGTACTTTCAAGCCATTAAGCTAAATACAGAGGAATCTTATCTTGGATGAAAGGAACAATGAGGGGACACCCACAGCAAGGACAGGCAAGTTCTGGGGAATCGCAAAGGCCTTCCCTGAGCCACAGGCAAGAGACTCCACGGTATTCCACCACAGTGAACAGGGAGAGTAGGCCCAGTGAAAAAGCCCAAACTCCCCTCTTGACTTTTCTAGGGTTAGAGCAACATTCGGAGAATCCAAATATTCACTGAATGGCCCAAATGAGGACCCTGGATCCGAACTAGGTCATGCGATAGCAAGCTCAGCACCCAAACTGGTATAGCATTGTGCCTCATACACACTTCAGAAGCCTCCAGTTCGAATAAGCTGAATCAACGTCAGAGCCCCGAGGAGGGGGGACGCAGAGCTCTGAAGCCAAGCTGGGAAGCAGGTCACTTTCCATTTTTAAAATTTCAAGGATGGGGTGGAAACCTGATGCGGTACCACAGCAGGGCCCGGGCTGGGGAACCCACGGTGCACAGAAACACACAGAGCCTTCCCTATCTCACCATCAGGCTGCCATCCATGGGGTGGCCTAGCTTTTGAGGTAAGGAAGCACAGCAGTAAAGCCACCTTTTCCAAGCAGGCTGGGGGCCTAGAGAGACTGTATCACCCAGCAGGGTTTCCAGAAATGCAAATGAGCCCCGGAAGAGAAGAGGAACCTCCATGGACTAAATTCACACTCTCTACTCAGGCCCGGTTGTGATTACAAGTGTCTCCAGAAACTGGAGGTGGGAAGGGTGGAGCTTCATGCTGCTGTCTGTCTAAGGAACCCCAGGAAAGGGAACACTTGGCTCCTCCTGTCACCACAGCGTCACCAAGTAGAAGCTGGGCTGCTCCAGGTCAAGAGCCAGAAGAGAAATTCTTCCCAGACACCAAGAGCTAGAGTCGAGAGGCAGGGGAACTGAGGTAAGGCTTTTCATCATGGCCTGCCCGCTTTGCAGGGCTGAGGAAGAGAAGAGGGCAGTGCTCACGGCTCCCGCAGGTCAGAAATGAGCAGAGCTCAGGGAGATGACAGCGCTTGATCACCTGGAAAAAAAAGGCTCTTCCGTGTTGCTGCTGCAGGGTCTGCTTCAGCTGCTCCACATCTCTCTCCAACTTCAGGTACTCATTCCAGGCGTTTTCCATCTCCTGTTGGCCAAGGAAACACTTCTGGTCCCCAGATGCCTCCTCAACACACCCCCTCCCAGCCTCAAGAGCACCTGCTCTTGACCAACTGACTCACCAGGGGACGAGAGAAGGGGCGGGGTGTGTGTGTGCACACCGTGGGCAGTCTGGTGGGAGGATGGTATCTGACCCTGGCTGCCTATGCAGCCCCCTCCTCTATCCCAAGGTGCTTTTTCTCCCTGCCTGGGCAGAAAGGCTGGCACATGTCAGACAGCTCCAGAGGTGGAAATTTTGAGGTCTCGGAATACACTGCACATAGACCAGAATGTGGCCTGCAGGCTCTCCAAGAAACTGGGTCCAACCATTCTGACAGAAAGCAGCCTGAGGTATGGATGCGGTCGGACATGTCACCCCAGGACGAGCCAAGCCACTAGGCAGCCTGGACAAGTTCTGCTCCTCCTAGATGCCCGCCCCTGGCCTCCAGCTCAACAGCTGGGGAGATGGACAGCAGTCATGGCCAGCCTGCCCAAGGAAAGCGACTGCCACCCCTACATACCGTGGACTCTCTGCAGAGCTCGGCACGGATGTGGACCAGGTCCTCCTGCAGCAGCCTCTGTTGGCAGGTGATCTTCTCCAGGTGCTGTGGCTGGTCTCGGTACTGCTCCATCTGTCTGTGCAGCACCTCTAGCACAGATTCCAGCTGGTCCTGTGCCGGGATGGGCCAAAGAACAGGATGGGAGGGCTGGAGGGGAGGGCTATCCCCAGAGACCTCCGATCCCATGTCAGGAACCACACCGCTGAGGCCAAAGGGGCAGAGCTGAGCTGAGGAGGAGAGGCAGGCCCCTAGACACCAACGAAGGCTCCCTGCCTTGGTTACCTCATCTACAGAGTAGGTACAAAGACTTCCAACTCCTGAGGACAGAGAATGAATTGACAGAAAAACTGTGTAAGAACTTGTGAACAAAGGTCTGTTATAGACCTTCAGCATCACAAGTATGAAGTCTTATTAAAAGCAAAAAGGGCCGGGCATGGTGGCGCACGCCTTTAATCCCAGCACTCATCCAGGCAGATCTCTGTGAGTTCAAGGCCAGCCTGGTCTACATAGCGAGTTCCAGGTCAGCTGGGGCTACAGGATGACCCTGTCTCAAAAAAAAAAAAAAAAAAACCAAAAGGAAAAATTCACTCCGAGTCTAAGAGACCATCGCTGGCCCCGACCCACTCTTGTCTCCCCATCTAGACTTGCCTTCTCCACAGCCCAGATCCATGGGGAAAGGCACTTCAGGGAGTGAAGGGCTTTGCCTGTTGTGACTGTGGCCACTTTCTCCAAGGCAGACGCCTGGCGTTCAATGTGCCGAGGCCCTCACAGACCAGCCAGTGAAGTGCTTCCCCCAGGCTGACTGAGCTCCCAGGGAAACATGGGTGAGGGTGTAGTTGGAGCAAATAGACTGGGATCCCCTAGAAGGCAAGGAGCTTCAGATGGATGTCTTTGAGGAGTCCTTTAAATGAAAAAGACTGTGGCTAAACTAACACTTGTTTAACTTTTTATTTAGGAAGGTTGAGACAGGGTCTCAGGTAGTCCAGGCTGGCTTCAAATTAACTATATATAGAGGGCTGGAGAATGGATCAGCAGTTGAAAACATGAACTATTCTTGCAGAGGACCTGAGTTCAATTCCTAGCACCTACACCGTGTAGCTCACAACTGCCTATAATTTCAGCTCCAGGGGGATCCAACATCTCTAGCCTCAGCAGGTACCTACACTGACATACACACATATACACATAATTAAATCTTTTTTAATGAGTTATATATAGTCACGGATGACCTTGAATTTCTGATCCTCTTCCCTCTATCTCTCAAGTACTAGAATTACAGACATATGCCGTCATGCCTGGTCTATGCGGTGCTGGGTAACAAACCTAGGGTTTCATACATGCTAGGCAAATGTTATCAGCTGAACTACAGCCCCAGCCCCTACCTGCTGTTTAAGGCCCACACAAAAGCACATACACTGTCTCAGGAAAGACAGAATGAGCAAACATGACTCCACCCATCCCATAATAATGCAAAAATGACGTATACTTTATTCTCTTTGAGAGCTCTGATCTTGTCTTCCAAGTCCTGGAGGATCCTATCTTGTTCACAGAAGACGCTCAGTTTGACCTAAAAACAAGAACAGGTTGGGTAGGGCCTGGGGTTTGGGGGGATAAGACCAGGGCATGGCCTTGGGAGTGTGAGCCTCTGGGCACAGAACCATCCATACCCTGGAGGAACCTGCCCACTCCTGGTCAGGAGTCAACCCCTTCAGTCACTCACATCAGTGTCACTCTCAGCGATCTTCACCGGCTTCAAACTTCGATCCTTAAGAAGGTCTCGGCCTGTCATCTGGGAGGTGAACAATTAAAGATTACCCTGGTGCTTGGAGCCAGAGTTCAAGAAGGAAGGTTAGTCCTACAGTGGATGGATGTGGAAGTCTTGGCAGAGGCAGGGAGGGTCAAGGCACAAAATGGGCAAAAACTTGCATTGTTTTAATGCATACTTCATTTGAGGAAAAACTAAAACCTTATTGTGATCCTAAAAGCACTACTAAATTTCTCCAATTTAAGAAAATGTAGACGTTGAGTTGTCAAATCATCAATTTTGAAAGCATTTGCCCCAGATGAGTATGATACATCTCTAGAAGTCCTTGGAGATTTGCCACTGATAAGAGAAGTCTGTTACCAAACCCAGGGAAACACATGAGTCAGAAGTCTATCACCTGGTTGCCTAGAACAGTGGGGTTGGCGAGCAGGAGGACCAGCAAACCCCGAGCCGGTCCAGCCTTGGCTTCAGGAAATCTCTTAACAGCCACCTTCCCTAGGGGTAAGGTCAGCCTTCCTCACTCTATACTACCAGAAAGACCTGGTCAGAAGGGACCTGGGTCAGTCCCAGCTGTTTTTTAATTCACATCAAACAAAAAGGTTAGGTTCTACTCATGTAAGTTACAATCTACCTCACCATCTCAATAAGGGAACCTACAAAGCAACAAATAAAAGTCATCCACACTTACAGGCCAGTGAAATGTCCATTTCACATCCTCAGTTGACCCGAAACCGGCAGTGTGCTCTTCACCTCTCGCTGACACCAGAATCTGATTCCAACTCTCTATCTCATCATTTACCCCAAGATCCCTTCTTGCCATAGGCTGTAGAGGTGTGGGTTCTCATGGCCAATGCAAGGGCAGATCAGCCAGTTTAAATGCGTGTCAGAGAGGGGAGCCCATTTCTCTGACCTCTGTTTTGCAGCTCTGGTCAGGGGACATGGAGAGTATGGTAACCACAGAAGAGACAAGTGTTATGTGTGCTAGGCAGAGGGCCTCAGGATGGACAGACAGACAGCTGCTGGAGAGATAGCCTTTGTTTCCTCCCTACTCCATCTGAAAGGCTCAGAAAGTTTATAACATACTGGCAATCATTCCCTTCAGCGTTCACAATACCCATATGCCCAACTGTCCTATACTCTACCTCAGCAAGTCCAAAGGCCAAGGTCTTTATCATGATGGGCGCCTTGCTCTAAGTTAAGGACTGATTCTGGATATAGAACAGTTACTATCTATTCCCTTTGGCCACACAGCAGAGGGCTGGACTAGGGCCTTAATTATCTGGCTTATTTATCTCCTGGTAAAATAAAGGCCTGGCTCAAGGGAAGCCACTCAGCAAACATTTATGGACTGGTGTGGGGCCAGTAGAAATTCCCACAAAGAGCAGAACTCCAGCCAGATTCTGCCTCTACAACTGGCAACGCACGTGTCCATACGTGTATACACACAGTTGTAGAACACATGGACCCTGCAACAGTCCACAGTACTGTCCATGAGAGGGGCAACAGGAGAGGGAGGGAAAGGAAAGGTGGAACAAACAGCTGAACGTTGCAGGCTGGTCTTGGGTCGGAGACTCAGAAAGCCCTCGAGGAAGTGCTGAGGTCTCTGCTCCGAGCCAGTTCTGCTCCCAATGGGAGGACTGTGAGCCTCTCTCCTCCAAACAGGCTGGCTCTGGCTCATTTCCTAGCTAAAATCACTTTCAAATTGAGACACACTTTGGGGACTTCCCCCAGCAAAACTCTTCTTTTTCACCGAGGCTTTATATTGAGGGTATCCCTTTGATGCTTAAATAAGGCAGAGAATCTAATTGAGCAACGCCTCATTTATCCTGCACCAGCAGGGAGGAAATGAGGTGTTCTACACACAAAGGCATTTTGAGAAACAAAATCTAAATTAAGCTTTCTGATGGGCACCTCTGAAAATGTGCCCTTCACCGCCTTCCTAGAGCAGCAACTAGGGATTAAACCTTCAGCTGTTCCCTCTCTAGGGACAGGAACATTCCCTCTTCTCTAGGAAACAGGCTGTTCTTGTCCTTTTTCATGTGCTGTTTGTAGGGTGTTGGAAGCCAGGAATTCAAAGGACTTGAGGAAGTGCTTGCATCTCCTTCCCTTTGAGCAGGTTTGGTGCCCTTCAGGATGTCGTTCCTCTCACACCCTGTGCCAGTCACTGCTGGGGTGTCTAGCGTTATCAGATTACAGTGCTCATCTCTCTCTCTCTCCTCACTAGACAATAGCCTCACTAGGGGGTCACTGTGGAGACTAGGATATATTTTCTCTCTATCCTCCAAGCCCAGCCAGGGCCCAGACCATGGAGGGGATCTGAAGAATGTTTACTGAGTGAGTTCACGAACCTATCAAAATCAGACCAGTTGGTTTTGTTTCCAGTGGGGTAAAGGTCACAAGCTACAAAGCACAGGCTTCCTGAAAACTGCTTATACAGCTCAGTGGTTCTTAACTCCTGGATTTAGCTCTGGTCAAGAGAGAGGATGCTAGTGTGAAATATTATACCCACAAGTAATGGATTACAGCCAAGCTTCTTTTTTAAATTGTGTTTTGTGATAGCAATGTTTAAATCCACTTAAAATGTCAACAATGCATTCTCTCAGTGTCACCAGAACGAGTGAAGTCTTGGGTCACTCACTCATTTGAAAGAATCTCTGTTTGGGAAGGGATTTGAGGGCTCCAGCCATCCCACCTCCCCTCTACCACATCAGAACATAACACCTAGCCCCCAACCTGCAGCCTCCCTCAGGACAAGAGCTGGTCACATTGTAGTCACTACTGCTCCATCAGTCAAAAGAGACATGGGGGTGGCTGTGCAGCTCCAGATTGATACCTGTGTATCAATACCCTGCCCCAGAGAAGGTGGCACGGGCAGTAGAATCTAAGGTTCCTCTAAAGTAGCCAGGAATTGCTGCTCCCTCCCAAGGAACTTATGCTCAGCCCTGTCTATGTGAAAGCAGACAGTGAAGATGGAAACACGACCCAAGCTGGTGGCAGGCCAGGCAAGCTCCCCACCCCTCTGCAACACAAAAGACAGTCACAGGACACCACAGATGAGGAGCTCAGCCCAATGAGTCAGCCACGATGCTGAAGAGAGCTTTGGGTTAAAGAAAATCAACCGAAATGACTTGCAGGAAGCGTGGGGCAGTCAGGAGAGCAACTGGTTAAGCAAGTGATGGAGCCGGCACTGAGCCAGAAGCAATGGAATGGCCCCGCCTGGAGACACGGATCCGATCAGCTTACGCTTCTCCTGGGCCGACAGCCCTGTGCTGACTTCTTCAGCACTTTGTAAAGCACGTTGATCAAAGGTTCATTATTTTTAATCTGTTCCAAACAAAAAGGCAAATACAACAAAACGCAACAGGTGAGACATTCGACAACACTTGAAGCGGCCACGATCCAGGGACTGGTGAAGGGCCCCAAAGAGGACGTGTGCAGAGCAGTGAAGACTAGACTCAGGGAGACTCGGTGCCGTGAACTCCCAGCTAGGGAGCCTTCCCAGACTCAGTTGCCACCTCTGTGCAATGAGGCCACCTGTGTGGGCTGACCATGCACTAGGACCACTTTAGAGCTCACTTCCTTCTTGGTTCTGCAGAAAGCAAGGGGAGCCTGACAGAAGAGGTCTGCATCCTTCCAGCCAGCCTCCCACAAAACACTCTGCAAGATCTGAACGCTTGTTTAGACAGCACTATCCTCTCACTTCAACACAGTATTTCTGCCTCTCCTATCTTTACCTCCACACTTGTGGAGCAGCTAAATGTTCATCCCTTATAGATGGTCCTGCTAAGTGATCATGCCTTACCAATGGTCCTGCTAAATGTTCATCCCTTACCAATGGTCCTGCTAAGTGATCATGCCTTACCAATGTTCATGCCTTACAGATGGTCCTTCTTACATATTCATGCCCTGCCAAAGGTCCTGCTAAGTGATCATGCCTTGCAGATAGTTCTGCTAAATGTTCATGCCTTACGGATGGTTCTGTTAAATGTTCATGTCTTACCAATGGTCCTGCTAAATGTTCATGCCTTACAGATGGTCCTTCTACATATTCATGCCCTGCCAAAGGTCCTGCTAAGTGATCACGCCTTGCAGATAGTTCTGCTAAATATTCATGCCTTACGGATGGTTCTGTTAAATGTTCGTACCTTACCAATGGTCTGCTAAATGTTCATGCCTTACAGATGGTCCTTCTTACATATTCATGCCCTGCCAAAGGTCCTGCTAAGTGATCATGCCTTGCAGATAGTTCTGCTAAATATTCATGCCTTACGGATGGTCCTGCTAAATGTTCATGTCTTACCAATGGTCTGCTAAATGTTCATGCCTTACAGATGGTCCTTCTTACATATTCATGCCCTGCCAAAGGTCCTGCTAAGTGATCATGCCTTGCAGATAGTTCTGCTAAATATTCATGCCTTACGGATGGTTCTGTTAAATGTTCGTACCTTACCAATGGTCTGCTAAATGTTCATGCCTTACCAAAGGTCCTGCTTTTAAATGTTCATGTCTTACCAATGGTTCTGCTAAATGACCATGCCTTGCAGATGGTCCTACTAAATGTTCATGGTAATGTTCGTGCCTTACCAATGGTCCCAGACCCCTACACTTCCTGTTAGAAACCACTATCCACCAGGTCTACAAGATGACTCAGTAGATAACACTTGCTGCTGAACTTGAGGGTCTGAGATCTCTGGGACCCACATGATGGAAGTAGAGAACCTATTCTTACAAGTTGTCCTCTGGCCTCCACATGTGTGTCACGGCATATGTACACACATAAAATAAATACCTATATGTAAGAAAACACTGTCCCTACCTCTAAGTGGAGTAGATCCCAGGCCAGTGGCATTTTTATTTTTTATTACAGTGTTGGGAATTGAACCCAGGGCCTCATGCATACTAGGTAAGTGCCCCACTCCAAGTCACACCCTCAGGGCTTCTTAAAAGTCCTGGGTGACACCAATGTGCAGTGAGGATTGAGAACTACTGCTCTAACTCTAAGTTCTCCAGCCTTGTAAATGAACAGATTCTCTGGCTACACCCAAGGGTCTTACTGAGCAGGGCCTGGAGGAAGAGCCAGATTTTGCTTCCCTAACAGGTGCCTGGGTGTTGCTCCTGTGGCTGCTCTTGTAGCACGCTTTGATAACTAGCACTCCATGGAGCTGGAGTGCAGCTCGGTTGGTAAAGTGCTTATCTAGCATGAAGCCCTGAGCTCCATCCCCAGCACCACATAAACCAGGTGTAGTAGCACAAGCCTGAAATCCCAGCACTCAGATGGAGGCAGGATGATGAATCTAAGGTCATTCTCAGCTACATAGGGAAGCAAGGGCAGCCTGGGAGAAAGGAGACCGTGTCTCAAAACAAAACAGCAATAAAAACAACTACTTAGAAGCAATCCTTCCCAACTGTGGCTGCATGTTAAAACCATGTAAAGAGTTGTTTGATTTTAAAGAGTAAATGTTTGAATACTACCAATTAAATCAGTCTTTCATTTTGAAAGTTCCCTAGTAGTTCTAGTTAATGCCCAAGTTAGTAATTTCTGCTCTGGATCTCAAATTTGCTATGCACAAGAGTCACACCAGAGCTTGACTTACAAATCCGAACAGTAGCATTCTAACTCAACAGAGACCTCGAGATCTACTGTAATATTTTTTTTCACATTTATTTATGTGTATGTGTGTGCTCACATGCATGCATGTGCTACAGTGTATATGTGGAAGTCATAGGACAACTTGTGAGAGTCAGTTCCTTCCTTCCACCATGTGGATCCCAGGGATGGAACTCAGGCCATCAAGTTTGGTGGGAAGTGCCTTTACTCACTGAGTCATCCCGACAGCTCATGCTTTAATTTGAGTCAGGGTCTATGAATCCTTGGCTGGCCTAAAACTATGTAACAGCCCAGGTTGACTTTGAACTTGCAGCAACCCTCCCACCTCTGTTTCCTAAGTGTTGTGACTATAGACAGCTATGTGTCACCATGCAAGGCTCTGAATTTTCTTTAAGGCAGGACTTCACTATGTTGCCCAGGCTGGCCCTGAATTCATAGGCTCAAGTGTTTTTCCCATCTCAGTCTTCCAAGAAGCTGAGACTGTAGTGTGTATCACCCGATGTGGCTCAGATGTGTGTTTTCAAAATCAAGTTCCCAGGTGTTCTAGAAATAGATGTTCCCGGTAACAGCCTAAGCCCCCACGCCAAGCTGACTTTGGAAACAGACAAGCCCTGATCTCAGGCTCAGACCGTCAGAGGGAGTCCACTGTGCTACAGATGTAAAGCCAATGAGGGTGGCATGCTCCACCCCAGAGACAAGGGCAACCTTCTCCATCCACAAGGGCACCACCTGGGCAGCTGTAGACACCCTCCCCCACTTCACCAGGAGCACAGACACAAGCTACAGGGGAGGCTGAGGCAAGAAAATCACTTGAGGTCAGGGCATGGTAGCGCAGCCTTGAATTCCAGCACTCCAGAGGCAGAGGCAGGCCAATCTTCATGAGTTCAAGGCCAGCCTGGTCTAAAAGCAAGTTCCAGGTCAGCCAAGGCAATATAATAAGACCCTGTCTCAAAATTAAAACAAAACAAAAACAAAGACAGAAAATCACTTGAGCCCAGGTATTTGAGAGTAGCCTAGGTAACATGGTGAGACCCTACATCAAAGAATAATTTTTAAAAATGCTGCCAACAGTGGCCCCACCCACTCTTTCGATCCAATCACTGGAGTGCAGAATTCTGCCATGGAGCATTGCACAAGTTCTTTAACCTCTCTGAGTCCTGGGTTAGGAGGATGAGGATGATTTCTATCCCTCAAGGTTACTGAGAGAATTAAATACACAAACATACATCAAGTACCCAAGCACTGCCAGGCAGAGCAGAAGCTGGATCAACGCTCAGTCCTCCCCGACCAGGACATCATCAAGTTCACTGAAGCAAGCACTCCCCAAAACACGTTCACTAGAGCATCTTATACAGCAGGATATTCAACCAAGGAAGGAAAAACCAGCACAGTGTGTTGGGAAGCAAACATCACCACCAAACTCTGGAAACTGGGTATCAGTTGACCAGAGGGGGTGATGGATCCTGGATCCTTGGACTTGGGGACTAGCTGTGAAACTTATTAATAGTAAGACGTGGTCTTACAGAGTAAGAAGGTTGGAGTTATAGTGGGAAATATGGCTTAGTAGTAGAGTGCTTGCTTAGTATGCATGAGGCTGGAAATTCAATCCCCAGCACCACACAAAAAGAAAGTTAGTCCTAGAGGGGCTGTGCTTATCACTACTCTGATGCTCAGGGTGGTCTTTAAAGACCACTCGGCTGTGCCTACTTTCCTAGGAGTGCCAACCTCCTCCTGTGCTATCTCTACCTGCAATGCCAGGTTCGTATCCCCACGCCCCCCCGCCGCCGCTTTCCTCTCAGGGATATTTTCCCTAGCATGTCATAAAATCCAAGGCCAACAGGCCCTAGAGTTCCAGTTCAACTACTCATCCTGCTCAACCTCATGCACTCTCAGTTGTAGCCTAGATACAAGAGAGTTCACTACCACAAAGTTGACCCTTTCAGAAAAGCATGTCTACCAATCCTGGGCCATTTCTACCTCTTAAGGGTCACAAGAAAACACATGGTGACACACCAGAGCTTTTACAGCCTGCCTGTCTCTGTCTCTCCTAAACTGTTCCTCACTCCCTCAGACATGCTATCACTGTGAGCCTTCTTACAGGCACAGTTCCCATTAGGGAAACTGTTCCCTTGTGCCACAGAAATGCTGACAGAGGAAGGGAGTCTGAGTTGCAGGTGCAGGCGACATGGGCCCAGCAAGACAGAGTAGTGAGGCTGGACTGCTGCTCCTGGCTCAGGAAATGGAATGTACCTTCGGACTTAGCAGGCTGATTTAGGCTTTGAACACCTACAAACAAAACTGTTCTACTGAACACGGGTCTGCAGGCCTTCGATCTTGGGCTTTGGGTCCTTCCATAGGCCACTCCTCTGGGAACCTTTGGCCTTTCTGAACAATGCTGAACACACAGTCAGGCATCTTCTCTCACATGGACTGCTGGAGAGCCTAGCCTCTCCAAGCTGCTGGTGAGCTTCATCTGGGGACTAGGTCTCTAAGAAGAACTTAGTGACTGCAGTAGCAGTTCCATGATCAGGAAAATCTGGCTGTCAACACAGCTGTTCTCATGACAAACAATGACGCAAAAGGAAAGCCTAAGCCTTTTGTTTGTAGGGTCCATGGCCTTGCTCATGGCCCACGGTGACTCTCACAACTCAGGCTGAGAACTGAGACAAACACCTTTGTATGGTCAGTGTGTATAATCTGTTGTTTGAGAATATTTCAATTCTCAACCCACACTATTTGGAAATTTTTTTCTCTCACATCTGCCTATGTCTTCTGCAGAGCTGGGCATACAGCAAGTGCTCAAGAGATGCATAAGTGAACTAGGTGAAGCTAACCAAAGGCCTTGGTGGGGCCTCAGTATAGGAAGACACAGCCCCCGCCCGCTGCCTGCTGTTTTAGGGTCTAATATTCACAGCTGGGCTCTGTGAGCTAGAGGAAGATCCCTGAGTTAGAAAGATCTTGAGCCAGGTACACAGCGGACTGCAGGTGGCATGCCCCCAGGGGACATGTCCCACAGGTCCCTTCCCTCCCTGAGTTGCTAAAGGTTGCATTCCTGCAGTCTGTCAGGCATAAGGAGGATCATCCAGAGACAGCTTGCAGAGCTATGGGAAGCACAATAGGGCTCTCTTTCAGCGAAAATGTGGCTCACCTTCCCAGGAGCCCTCTCAGCTCAGCTCTGTGTTTTGAAGGCTGACTCAGAGCCTGGAGCTTTAACCGCCTACTGGGGCTTAGTGCCCATGTCTAAAGGGTATAGATAGGCCTCTTGTGGGCCTCAAATCCCTGTGACTCCAACTCCACATGGAACTTGCTCCATCAGCAACACACCAAAAAAACCACCAAGCCTATTGTGGCTGAGGACACATTAGTGGTAGCCTATAAACCACGCACGCATGCACATACGCACACCTGCTACCAGCAAGGGGGTACTAAAAAAGCTGGTAGTTATTTCCCAGGAACTTTTGGCTCTATCCAAGGGAAGGAAGAGACTGAAAATCACAACCCTCGTTCTGTAAACCAGAGACGTTACAGCAGAGTACACAAGCAACAGCAAATGCAGTCTGAGGCTGTAAGAAATGAAACTCTCTGACTCAGACATTGAGGTTTTGCTTAGGTCCAGATTTGAGCCAGCACAGCCTTGGGCTTTCGGCTACAGTAGGTGACATGCTCAGAAAGGTGAGTGCCTATGGAAGGCGGGACCCTAATGCCACTCACCTTTAGATCCAGGTACTCCAGATCTTTCTTCAGCTGGAGGTAGGTGTCATCAGCCTTCCAAGGAAACAGAGAGAGGGAAAACAAAATCAAAACTGTCATAAACACCACAATCCGGGGCTTCATTAGTAGATCACTGACATTACACAGCTTTGAAGACAAGGGACCACGCAGATCAACACATGGGGCCACGGAGGAAGCACAAATGTCTTGCAGCTCAAGGCCCTCCATCAGCATGGCTCAGCGTGCAGGTCACTGTGGGGAAAGCCAGCTTATCCCCGACCCCTACTGTGGCTGGGGAGGATGTCCACCTGGACGAGTACATGCTACACCCAAGCCAGGATCCCATGGTCACAACTGCTCCAATTCTTTTTAAAAAATTTTTATTTATTATTATTTTTTATTTTATGTGTATGCGTGCATTGCCTGCACGTAGGTAAGTGCACCCGTGTCGTGCAATGCCGGTGGAAGTCAGAGAGGCTGTTGGATCCCCTGGGACTGGAGTTACGGACAGCTGTTAGCTGCCATGTGGGTGCTGGGATTCGTACCCAGGTCTTCTGCAAGAACAACAACCAGTGTTCTTAACCGCTGAGTCATCGCTCCAGCCCCATGGCTGCTCCAATTCTTGTCATAAAATTTTTGGGCTGAGCTGCCTCACATGCATGAAGTAACATGACTCTAAGTGGTATGGACAGATGGATGACCAGAAGAGGCAAAGGAAAAGGACTTGGGGGACTCGGAAGGTCCCATGACTCTGGGTTACAGGAGGATAAGTAGCAGTAGATGCTGGAAGTTTCTTGGAAGTTTTGTTCTTTTTTAATTATGTGGGGGGGGGCATGGGTATGAGCATGCGAGTTCAGATGCCTGGGAGGTCAAAGGTGTCAAATCCCCACTTAGAACAGGAGTTATAGGCAGTTGTGAGCCTCCCACTGTGGTGCTGGGAACTGAACTCAGGTCCTCTGCAAGAACAGTAAGTGCACTTAACCACTGAGGTATCTTTCCAGTCCAAAATTTTGCTTTTTGCTCAGCAAGGAGCTAATGAGGCCATGTCAGGAGCTAGTGGTAGGAGCTTGGGTCAGACCTGCCTGTGGTGTCTCTTGTGGTCTGTCAGAAACAGTGAAAATAAAGCTCCCCATAAGCCATGCTCTCCTGTACAGCAGATCACAGAAGCTAACAGTGAGGCGGAGCAGCTTTAAGAGCTTACGAGTGGTTTGGGTGCCACTTTCTTAGTGGACTATGAGGGTCTCCAGCTGAGCGAGCCAAGGATGGGGAAGATGGCCAGCTCTGGTGTGAGAAAATCTCCCAAAAACACATTAGAATTTCACATGGTGCTGTGAGCACCGTCAGGGGTGCCTGGGGCTGACTTGGGCTTATTTCTGCCACCAGACTGTCTCCCCCACATACCTGCTTCCCTAAGTCACTATCCCGACACACTGTACAGAAGTAGGATAGAGTAGTGTGCATGTGTGTATGCATATTTTTGCGTATGTATGTGCATACATGTATGTGGCTACTCAAATGCTCTTCCACTTTATCAGTGAGGCAGGATCTCCCAATCAAACCCAGAGCTCACTGATACAGCTAGCCTTGCTATCCAGCTTGTTCCGGGGCTGGAACTACAGGTGGGCTGCCATGTCAACCGAACATTCACACAGGTTTCTGAGCCATTCACCCAGGCCCACAGCTTGGGTTTTTGTTTTCTTCTCCATGCCTTCTTTTATACTCATTTTTCTAATTATATTTCCTGAGTCCCTCAGGTCTCCATAAAGCAGGACAGAGAAGGGAAGTGCCAGTCCTATCACCCTCCTCTCTGTGCTGCCTAGAGGGACCAGGCTCATGTGGCTGAAGCAACGCCTGTCCAAAGACAGCTTCACAAGCAAGGGAAGACCCCCATCTTTCAGCTATCCCCTGGACAATCCCCAAGAAGCCTGCCTACAAAGCCCAGGATCCTGACAAAGACTGACTTTGGCTCCAGCCTGCAAGCTCTTAGCAAGGAGTACTGGTGAGTCACTGCCTTCATGGTCCTCTCGTCTCATGGTGGTGAGAACTCAGCTGCATCTAACCCCTCCCAGGTTACCATGAGGCTCAACAGGACAAGGGATAGGAGCTGCTTTGCAAGCAGGGCACCCTATGTTTTCTCCCAGGCTGACCCCCATGTGTCTTCCAGAACCCCAAGGAATCCTCAGTAAGACAAGGCTGACAGCACACAGCCCTTCGGACAAGACACACACCAGTCTGGCAGTCACTTTGCACAGCCCGAGAAGCCAGGCTCAGGTTGTTCTTACCTCTTACCCCATGCAGCTCCTCCCCAGCACCAGAGGAGGGTGCTCCACCAGCACAGTGCCTGGCTGTAGCACCCACAAGCAAACAAGCAAGGGATGAGGGAAAGCCAGCCAGCAGGACAGAGCAGAGCACGGCACAAGGGAGCACGGGTCACACGCCATCCCCTGCCCGGGCCCAAAAGGGCCCACTGGTCCTGACCTGGCAGGCGGGAAAAGTCAGGTAGTGGTGTAGTAACTGGCCCACGGCGAAATTTCGCACGCTGGCTAACTTAGCCTGGTGCCGCTGCAACCGGGTGAGCAGGAGTGAGAGCTCCTCCAGCTGCAGGCGGGTAGACATCAGAGTCAGCACAGGGCACCGTGGGCCAGGACAGCACTGACGTGACACTACTGAGCCATGACACACTGGCTCTATTGTTAGGGCAAATAAAGACACCAGCAGCAGAGGGCACAGGGAATAAGAAGTTGCTTTCTCAGAAACCACCAGTGCAATTTCACTCAGACATGAGCATTGAAGGTCGTGTTAACTAATCACAGTGAAGACCAGGGAAGAAAGGAGAGGCTGAAGGAGAGAGTGGGTGACTAGAATATGCTCCTGGCAAAATTCAAAGAGAAGCCCAGCCCAACATGCAGTGCCACTTTCCTTAGTTTTTGGAGAACCTGCTATATAGCCTGAGTGAATCACTAGGGCCTCAGTGACTCTCTGTGAGCCCCATCTCATCTCGTGTGTGTGTGTGTGTGTGTGTGTGTGTGTGTGTGTGTGTGTGTGTGTGTCCTGCCCTGTGGGCTACATTTGATTGGCTCAGAGGAAGGAAACACCAATGAGCAGGGCCCTGTAGACTGCAGCATGTCAATCACCTGGAAAGGGAGGCGGAGGTTGCTTACCGATTTTCCATGTAAGCTGGGAGCACTGACAGTGTGGGTCATGTAGCCCATGGAGGGCATGGAGCGCTGGTCCACGTGAGAGGAATTCTGCAACCGGGAGACAAGAAACCACACTGAAGCCAGGCAATGAGATCTCAGCCTGACAGAACAGCTTTCCACGTGTCCTTTCGCCTCTCCAAGTCTCAACAAAATGAGCACAACACCTTGTTCACCGAGCCACAGCACAGCAAGTTATGAAAGGACCCTGGAGAGTTAAACCTCCATTGGGTTGGTAAACATAATCTAACTGACTGAACACAGACATCCCTTCCTGCCTCGAAAACTCCCAGGAAGCAGACTGAGTGACTTGTCTCTAATGCCTCAGGGTTCTTCTCTGTGAAATGGGCCTAATCATAGCAGCTATCTCTGACAGCTGCAGTTAAAAATTAAAGGGAAACCTTTAGCTTTAAAACTTTACTGGCCTGTGAAAGTACAGCAACATGCTAGCTGTTGTTATTGGTCCCAATGACTCAAATCTGTGCTCAAACCAGGTAAGGCTGTGTCATCCTGATGCCAGACTCCAGCCATCTGCCAGAGGTTCAAGGGCCTTACCTTGACGTTGTAGCCCGGGGCCTTCCTGGGAGAGCCACCCAGTGAGATGTCCACACTCCTCCTCTGGTCGGGGGGCTTCACCGTGACCCTCTCTGCTGGTGTGTGTGGCCGTCGGGCCGGGAAGACCCTGGGGGGCCCCGGGGGAGGGATGTCAGAGGGAGACGGAGGCACAGAGATGGAGCGGGGCACCTCCAGCATGCTCCGGCTCCGGCCCTGCTCGGGGAACTCCGGAGAGCCGGCACCGATGGGCGCCGTGGGGCTGCCGTGCCGGAACTGCTGCCTCTGCTGCCACTCGTACAGCTGCCACACGGTGCCATCCCGGTGTGCACGGCGCTCCTCGCTGGACATCTTCAGGTGGCTGGCTCGGTCCTGCGCGTACTTGTAGTCGCTCGGCAGGTTCCGAGGAGGAGGCGAGGAGCTCCCCGACGGGTGTCGTGTGCTCTTGGGGAGAGTCTGGTAGTTCTCTGGGAAGGGCAGGGGGTGGCCGGGACCCTGGCGGGGACGCGTCTGGTCTGAAGGCAGACTGAGGAGAGAGAGCGCAGGTCAGGACACCGAGCAAGGCGGCCCGGCTAAGGAATCCGCATGGAGGGGAGACACTAAGGACCCCAGATTAGCAACTGAAGCAGCTACCCAGGATCCAATCCCTTCTCACTGCAGATGACTCCGGAACAGTTTTGTCTGACAATGCACGCTCTACCAGAGAAAGCTGGGGCCCGTTGGTCCTCACTTCTGGTGCAGTGATTTAACTGCCCTCCTTTCTTGCCAGCAGTCAGTATGTCTAGGTAAGGCCTCACAGTTCTCTGGGATGCTGAGGCTCTCCCTCTGCCTGGGAACCTAGACTAAGTTCTGGAAGCTCCTAAAGGAAATGGCTGGTGCCAGTGCCTCCCCTTTCTACTCTCCTAGAGCAGGGACTGGTTCATCACCTCCTCCTGAGAGCCTCTCGGGAACTTGTTTCTACCCTCCACAGTCACCTGATCTAGTCAGATCACTCCAGCGTGTCCAAAACTTCCTTGGTTCCTTGTTGATTATGAAATAGAATTTAAACCCTTGGCCTCCTACTTCCCCACCATTCTCCAGCATCTGACAGCAACCTACTCTGCAGTCCTGCCCTTTCCTTCCAGGCTGGGGAAGGTCAGGTGTCTAGAGCCCAGACTTGCTGGAGGAACCCCTTCCTGGAAGCACTCCCTATTGCTGGCCTTCAGGGAGGCTCTCCCACTGCAGGAACTTCTCACTGTGCAGAAACAGAAGAGTTGTGTACCTTAGGTTTGAATCTGAGCTTTCTCATTTACTGTCTATGTGACTGCAAGAGGATTACTGACTGCGCTGAGCCTCAGTTTCCCTACCTGTAACGTGAGGCAGTGCTACAGCCTCATCCAGCTGTCCTGAGGATTAATTAGATAGGTGAGGGAAAACGCATCCTCCATGTCTGAGACCCAGACCGCCTTCTCCAGCGTGGACTCCAGCCTGATCCTCAGAGCTCTCCCTGTTCCCCCCTCTCCCTGCTCAGGCTCCCCGGGCCCTATTCATCCAAACCTTGCTCATTTTTCAGGACAGTGGCCCGCACGTCTCCCACAGGGCCCTCAAAGACCGCAGCTTGCTGTCTTCCCATGCTGAACCTAATTATCACATGGTCTGTAATTCTTCCAAGGTCCTGTGCTGATAGAACCTTTCCACATTTGCAAAACATCTCTTCCTGGACACACTAAATATTCTTAAAGTGTGTTTCATACTCTATGGCCTGAGAAAGTCCTGATGTATAACCAGCCCTTCCAGAAGCCCTCTAAGAGCTGGCTATGACTGAAAGTTACTACCAACTAGCTATCGGATTTTTCTGAGAGGCAAGAAAAATTCAGCAAGAGACAAATTGTGGATCTTTCTTTCTTTCTTTCTTTCTTTCTTTCTTTCTTTCTTTCTTTTAAAATTCAAGCTGAATGTGGTAGCATTTGCTTGTAATTCCAGCACTAGGGAGGTAGAGGCAGGAGGATTAGAAATTCAAGGTCATATTCAGCTACACAGTGAGTGCTAGATCATCTTAGGTTATGAGACCTTAACTTAAAAAAAAAAAAAAAAAAAAAAAAAAAAGGCTAGGGGCTGTAGAGAAGACTCAGAGTTAAAAGTAAGCTCTTACAGAAGACCCAAGTTTAGCTCCTAGCAACCACATGGCAGCTTATAACCATCCATAACCCCAGTCCTAGAGATCTGATACCCTCTGCTGGCCTCTGAGCATGCACGCTACGCATAGACATACATGCAGGCAAAACACTCATACACATAAAAAAATTTTAAAAGCCTATGGCTGGTAAAACAGCTTAGCAAGAAAAGGTGCTTGCTTGCAGTCTACACTTGGCAACCTGAATTCAACCCACAGTGGAAGGAGAGAACCAGCTGCCACATGTGCGCTGTGGCATCCACGTGCCTGCACTCCTCCCCCCACAAAATGATAATAAAGGTATGGGCTTTTTTCTTTTATAAAGTCTAATCTGCAAGGCAGTATGGTATTATTTTAAAAAATATTTTATTTATTATTTTTATTTTATGTGTATGAGTATGTATTGCCTGCATGTGAAGTCAGAGGAGGGCATTGGATCCCCTGGAACTGGAGTTACAGACAGTTGTTAGCCACCAGGTGGGTGGTGGGAACTAAACTCGGGTCCTCTGTGAAAGCTGTCGTGCTTCTAATCGTTAAGCCATCTCTCCAGCTCCGGCAGTATGGTATTGTAAAGAGAATAGGTTTTTGAGTTACATAAGCCTGAGTTCAAATCCTGATTCTGTCTTTGTCAATTTCACAAGCAAACAGTGCTTCTTTGTTGTGAGGCATTGCTCTGTGCCAGTGCAACTCAGCATGGCTGTGGAGCAGCAGCATCACCCAGGGCCGTGTCCAAAAGCAGGTTAGATCAGGCAGAGAAACAGATACTCTATGTTCTCATTTACATGCAGGACCCACAGAAGCAAAGAGTAAACCAGTGAGAGATGTTGGTCAGCGTGTGCAAAGTACCAGCTGGATTGATGGATACGTTTGACAGCACGATTCACAACATGGTGACCATATTTAATAATCACAGATTATGTATTTTAAAATTGCTCAAAAAAAGACTAAGTAGTCTCAACACATATGCATACAAAGATATGTAGGTGAGGTGAAGGTATTAATTAGCTTGTTCCAACCACTTCAGAATGTATGCATATATCAAAAGGTCTGTCACGTCTACCTCATCTATGTATCTATGCATCTATGTATGTATGTATGTATGTATGTATGTATGATCTATCTATCTATCTATCTATCTATCATCTATCTATCTCACCTGTCTACTTTTTTTTAGAAGCATGGTTGCGTGCGTGTGCGTGTGTGTATGTGTGTATGCCCGTGCACATGTGTGTATAGGCCAGAGCAGGACATTTGACATCCTATTCACTTTCTACATATCCCCTTGAAACAGAGTTCATTGGCCTGGAGCTCCAGGTTCTGGCTAGACTGACTGGCCAGTGAGCTGCTGGGGTTCATCTGTCTCTGTCCCCCTAACACTGGGGGTTACCTGGCATGGGAGGCGAAGCCTGGTTTTTATGTGGGTGCTGAGGATTTGAACTCAGGTTCTCACGCTTACACAGGGAATAGTTCTTATCCACTAAGCCATTTCCCCAGCCCCATAATTACTACTTTTCAATAAAAAATAAAATATATGGGGGCTGGAGAAATGGCTCAGCAGTTAAGAGCACTGACTGCTCTTACAATGGACCCAGGTTCAATTCCCAGCACCCACATTATGACTAACAACTATCCATAATTCCAGTTCCAGGGGCTCCAACACCCTCTTCTGACCTCCTCAGGCATTGCACAACACAGGTGCACTCACATACATGCAGGCAATACATTCATATACATAGACTGAAGAAAATAAAATATCTATGTACATATGAAGGCTGGGGATGTAGCTCAGCTGGTAGAGCTCTTGCACAGCCTGCACAAAGTCCTGAGTTCAATCTCCAGCACTGCATAAAAATATAGTTTCAAATGTAGGTTTCCAGTCCAGCCAGACCTATGAGTCATAACCTCTTGGGGCAGAGCCCATTCACCCTGTTTAAACAGTCCCCTCAGGCTGAGAAGTACTATTCCAAAGGTCCATTTAATCGTTTGCATCTATCTGACCTTGGGTGAGCATTATTTCTGTCTTCTGAGTCTCACTTTCCTTCCTATAAAGTGGGGATAATAAGAATGTTTGAATGCTTAGATATGGGTACCATCAAATATAGTAGCTTTTCTTTTCCCATTTAACAGCTACTTTGCCATTAGGTGAGGTAATTTTAAGATCACCAACCCAAATCAATCTCGCGTGCAAGTGCATCTGCCTGCCACTAGGTGGCAGGGGTTTTCACTCATTTTTCCAAAGCCATCAGAGCCCGCGTCTGATGGGCGGGAGTACTTCAGAGGTGGTGGTTGGGACAGAAACCAGGAGTGGGCTTCCCCCGGAGATCCAGAAGTTATAACCATTGTTCATTCTGCCTGAAGCAACCCGCGAGGCATGCAAAGCATGTCCCAGCCAAGCTCCCACCCGCCACCCCTTCTGTCTGTCTCTGCAGCCCACACAGGGCTCACTGGTGGTGCCCGCCCACCTTGCCGGTCATGGTACCCCTCACCCTGAAGTCCCTCAAATCCTGAACTCATCCTCAAGCCTGAGCCCTCCACTTACGCACTGTGTGTAATACGGGGTGACCCTCAGATACTAGTATAATAGTGGCCACTGGGCTCCAGCAGCCAAATTATGGTAACTAACTGGCTGGCCGAGGGAGGGACATAAGGGGAGGAGGTGAGAACCCCCAGGAGCAGGGGGCTCTGGGAACAGCTCTGCCCAGACAACAGACCCATGTGTGGCCTGGCCCAATGGACCTCCTAGCACAGAAAAGCACTAAAGGCTATCCTGAGACAGATGCCCCAAATACAATCATGTCAGAGCATAAACTTGTCTTCTCTAGCCAAGTATGTATGTGGCAGAAACCGCCCCCCTCCCAACTCCCACATCAATGCAGACCTTTTGCTGTCTTATGTTCCTTCCAGTGGGGTTTGAATCCCCTGGCCCACCCCTACCTTTTTATTTTACAAGTACTATACTTTTAAACACAGAGTGGGTGGAATGGAAGACTAGCGTTCCCAAACAAGCTCACAGAACATGCTAAGATCCTAAGGCGTCAGACCCCTGCAAATCTGATTCCAACAGAGTTAAATGATGTGCAATATAATATAGATAGATCTCAAAATACTGAAAGACGTTAGAAATGGTTCCCTGTGTGGGCTAAAGCTGAGGACACAAGAGCAGACTGCGGTCTAAGCACCCTCCTTCCAAAGCCGCAGCCCAGAGTTCTGTCCAGGGACAGTGAGGAGTGAGGTCACCACAGTCTTAATTACACACAAGCTTCGTCCCACATTTCTAAATGGAAAACAAAGAAGGTTCCTTCATCAAGCAGCCAACCCATTTATCTATCTATCTATCTATCTATCTATCTATCTATCTATCTATCTACCTACCTAATACACACACACACACACACACACACACACACACACACTTTTTTTTGGACATAGGATCTCACTTCAGAGTCCAAGCTGGCCTAAAACTGACTATGTAGACCAGGATTGGCCTGAAACTTATGGCAACCCTCCAGAGATGATAGGTGTGTATCACCATGCCCAGCTGAATAAATCCTTAAGGGAAAAACGTGGGGCTGCAGCGTGCATTCAGACCTTTCAAGAAGCGGGTGCAACCTGGGAGGATGAGGACTTTCATCTCCGCCCCGCTGCCTTCAGTTCTTCACTGCAACTGGCTTTTTGGCCCCGAGATCAGCTTCTACTCCTGGACTGTGTGGTGACTGCCAAGGCCAGTAAATAGTTCTCTGTAGGCTGAGGACCCCAGCCCTGGGGCAAGAACGGCCAAACTCCCACGTCACATCCTGGGGGATGGCAGCACCGTCAGCTCTAAGGCCTCTCAACCCCTTGCTGACCACTTAGCCTTCTCTTCTGCCCCCCACAGGACAGGCCATTATGTGCAGAGTAAAAGAGGCCTGTGGGCTGTCAGAAAGGCTTATGGAGGCACACTTCATCACCACCGAATTAGAATCTCAGCTGCCTGGTTTTTGCAAGGCCTTTCGCCCTTCCACAAAAGGGTTCTTCCTGACCAGGCACCCCACTGGTTCCTTCCCTCCCATGACTACCTCCTGACTTAAAACTGAAACCAGCTCTGTCAGGGAGGGCAAGAAAGGATGTCCCCATAGAGCCCACTAAGTGCCAGCAGAGATCCTGGCTCCAGGGCTTCTTTGCAGTGCTGCCCACCTTGGAAGGTGCCCACTCACTGCTGACAGAACTCCTGCCCACAAGTGTGCACCACTGAGCACCTCAGTCCAACCCCCTCACGGCCTGCTCACTCTCCATAAAGAGATTTTGCTTCTGCCTAACCCTGGGGCTGGGGAGTCCCAGGCTTCTCTGAGGCTGCTCACTCACAGGTAACCCTGCCCCCTGCCATAGGTTAGAATCACTGAAGGAGGCAAGGGAAGGGAAGGGATGATTCATGTCCAGGCTGTAAACCCAGACCAGTGAGAAATTCCCGAACTTTAGTTGTTAAACCTCTCCAGGAGATTCCAGTAGGCAGCAAAGCATATTTCTCTACTGTGGCCACACACTGTACACCGACAGGATCACCTGGGAGCTTTCTTTGAAGCATCCAACGTGGGCTGGGGCAATGGCTCAGTGGGTAAGGCGCTTGCTACATATGCATAATGACCTGTGTTTGAATTCCCAAAACTCACATGAAACTGGATGTGCTATCTGTTAGCCCTTGCCTGCAATCCCAAGTCCCCCCAGGGGGAGATGGGAGGCGGAGACAGAACTCTCAGAAGCTCTCCAGTCAGCTAACCTGGCAAACAACAGAGCAAACAAAACAAAACAAACCAAGAGACCCTACCCTGAACACGGTGCAAGTGGAGACAGTCATGGGAGGTTATCCGCTGACTTCTACAGGTGTGCGATGGCATGCACACCTGCATTCACCCACCCACCCACACACACACACACACACACACACACACACGTACATGCACAGATTTTTTTTTAAAAAAAAATCCAATGCCATGGCCTTACCCCAAACCTATTAAATCACCATCTCTGGAGTGGGTCAAATCCTGCTTAAATGACCAATTCTGTGACCCCTGCCTACATCCCCTATAACCCAGTAGTTATCACCTCTGAACCTACCACAGGTACCACAGTCCTCTGCAGGTCCCACCTCTCCCCTATGCTCACACCGGGTGCTAGACACATCTGCCTACTAACCCAGCCAAACCAGAACACAAACCCCAAATCTTCATTTACATATCCAGAATGGAAGTCCTGATCTCCCTGCCTGTTCCTTCCTCAGCCCTCCCAAGCTCAGCAGCCGCTCAGTCAGTCACTCAAGTCCACATTCTAGGGCTCATCCTTGCTCTTCCCTTCCCTTCATCCTGCACATTCAAAATGTGAGCTCAATGCCCCGCTTTGACCTCCCAACATCACCATTCTGGACTGCTACAGTGGCCTCTCCCCCAGGCCCTTCTTTTCTTTGTGAAATATTCAACAGATCCTATCACCTGCTGCTTAAAATCTCCCAGTGTCCTTCCTATTGTTTTTTTTTTTTTTTCCCAAATAAAATTCAAATGCCTGACCTTGAACTACAAGAGCCTATGTGATGTGACAGCTCTGAGCTTTGCAATCTCACTCAGCCCAGGTCACTTCACGAACACCAGCCTGGGGACCAGGCAGCCCAGCACCAAGGACAATGCTGTCATTCCCCTCTATCTGGGGCAGCAGCTAATTTCAGTAAATCACAAAATGCAAATAAACAGAATCGACACCTGCTTATTCTTAGGGAGAATGGGAAGGCATCTTAGCCATAACACAAACGACTTTCCCTCCGGGTCAGTTCTATAGCCGCATCTCTCTGTGAGTCTCCCTTTTGGCTGTCACCAGACACCCTCTTGCCTACCCAGCTGGGCCAGGCACACCAAGCCCACTCTGAAAAACAGGCTGAAGCTATTCTTCCAGGAGCACTGCTGGCCTCCAGAGCCACAGAGGACAGTCTGCACCCACTGACGGGGTAAGGAAAGTGTCAGAAGTGCCAAGCTCCTCCCTAGACTCCTCCAGGTACCTAGGGTGAAAAACTGGGTCCCTGTGTACTAGAGGGTCTGTAGAGACTTCTCAGAGGCAGAGAAGCTGTGGCAAAGGAACAGATGGGTCACTGACTCTGCCGAGTCTCTGCGTCCTCTCAGGAGCAGACTTGCTTCAGGGTGCTCTGTGTGGCTGAGGCCTACAGACCCTGCTTTGAACTATGACTGTCACTATCTGTGCATCCTGGGCAGACTGCTTCCCCACTGAAGCTCATTTCTCCAGTCTATAAAATAGAGCTATCACCCCTTCTCGGAGGGCTGCTGAGGGTAGTTATATAGAGGGAGAAAGGTTAAGGGTGATATTGGCCTAGGGCAATGCAGGGGAAAAGATCGCTGTTTTTCATCAGCAGGATCTCAAAGCTATAACTGACCTCCTGCCGTCCCCCTTCTGAGCCTTCGCCCAGTGCTCCACCTGGGCCAGGCTGGTCTTCCTCTGGCTGTGCTTCTCGGGGTTGGCCCTGGGAGGGGCAGCCCGCAGGTACCCGCCGGTCCCGTTCTGCTCTCCTGAGCCATAGGAGGCAGGCAGCATTCCGTTCTTCTCTGCCCGCTGTGGCTGCGCCTGCTGGCCTCGGGGTCCACCTGATAGATCCACAAACAAGGCATCCTCCTCGGATGGGGAGTATGGGGACCTGGCCTTGCTCCTGTCCCGCTTGCCTTCCAGTGGGTCCCTTTGTGAACAGTAGTGCTCCTCCTCCTGCTCACGCCTGTCGAAACCAAAGGAATCCTCATAGCCACGATGAGGACAATCTCTGGAGTGATCAGGTCCCACACAGCCACATTCTTGGCAGGTCTCCAAATGGTTGGCCTGGGGCATTGCTTGCCGTTCCACCTTCTCCACGTCCCTGAAATGGCAGCAACACTGTCAGTCCACACCACACCCAAGACTCCCCTGAAACAAGCCTACTCACCTCTGGAATCACCACCTCCACGCCCAGTCCCTTCCCTGCAGCTTCTACTCCTGTGGAACTCTGCTTAAATGCTGTCTCCTCCAGGAAGCCCTCCTCGATGCACTCCCTCATGCAGAATAAGACCATGTGCTGACTTGATTACACAGATTACACTGAAATCATTACTCCAAACCCTCCACACTTCAGCCTCCTTCCCCCGCTACTGCAGTTCCACTCGTGAGGCGAAGGGACTGAGTGACAACGCTCGGTGTGATCTGAGGCTAGAGGAGGTGCTTACCTCCCACTGAAGCCTCCTAGGGACACATCCTCACTATGTCCACAGCCTACACTGGAGTCAGAGGAGCATACTCCAGCCCAGATGGGAAAATGAGCAGGAACTCTCAGATACGGCCACAGCCTAGCTATGTTCCTTGGTAAAAAAGGTTCCATGTTTCAGATGCATCACTTCTAATATGGCCAAACCAAGACAGTCTCCAGTTCAGGCTGACAACACGGCATGGAGACACTGCTTTATTTAGGCTCTATGGTTAGATCCTCGTGACCACTTCAGGACCTTGGCTATCCATAACCAGCACATGGTCGGGCAACCCAGTCTGGGGGAGAGAATGCCAATACAAAGTAAAAATGTGATTTCAAATGTGGGGCCTCATCTTACTGTGTGTGGGTCTAACTGTGGCCCTAACTCAGGCATGGAAAACTGAGAAAAGAAATCATACTTGTTACTATCAATGTCTGAACAGAAATCCCAAGTTAAGCAGAAAATAAAAAGTGTTTCTTAGTACTGTCTTTTAAAGTTTTTCTCTTATAGTTCATGTGTGCACACATGTGCCATAGCATGTGTGTGGAGCTCAGAGGACAACTTACAGGAGTCAGTTCTCTCCTTCTACCATATTGGCCCTGGGGATAGAACTCAGGTAGCCAGGCTTGGTGGCAGGCACCTTTACTAGTGCTGAGCTATTTCACTGGCCCTATACCTCCTTTCTTTGTTGTTTTGGGACGCTATCTCATGTAGCTCAGGTTGGCAGCAAACTTGCTATGTAGCTGAGGATGACCTTGAACTCCTAATCCTCCTGCCTCTATCTTGCAAATGCTGGGAATACAGGTTGTGGTGGTTTGAATGAGAATGTCTCCTATAGGCTCCAAGTATTCAGATGCTTTGTGGTGGTACAGTTTTGGGAGGTCTTAGAAGGTGTGGCCATGCTGGAGGAAGCATATCACTGGGGGTGGGCTTAGAGAGCTCTCCAGTCACTCTCTGCTTCCTGTGCCTGCTTGAAGATGTGAGCCTCTGCTTTCTGCGCCTGCTCTAGTTACCTCGTCTGCCATGAGTCCCCGCTATGATGGACTCTTGCCCCCTTGGAACCATAAGCTAAATAAACTTCCTTCTTTAAGCTTCCTTGGTCATGGTATTTTATCACAGCAACAGAAAAGTAGCTAATACAAAGGTGTACACCACCACACCTGGTTTGTATCTTTTTATTGACCTCTAAGGGACCTCTTCCCCCACCCCTACCTGTGTGTACTGCCATCTGATAACAGCATTTCCTTCCTCACTTTTGGCCCACATGGTTTGGATGTTGCTGACTCTAATATTACTTGTCCTGCTAAGGATCCCAAATCTCAGCAACTGGTTCACGGGTGGACGCCTGGCCCACTCCAGTGAATAAGAGTCAGCCCTAGGACTCTGGCTGGAGCTGGTCTCGAGTTCCTGTTGACTCTGTGTGGGAAGGTACTGTCTGAGAAGGAAGTCAACCTTAAGGCTAGATAGAGAGAAAAAGAAAACTGAGAACTCATCCCAGGGTCTGAGATGTAGCTATACCCAAACCAGATATGTCACCAGACTTGCTGGTCATGAACCAATAACCTCCCTTTCCCATGCAGGTTAGAGGTTGGTTTCTGCTACTTATACTGCCATGGTTGTTACAGCTCTTTATAATGATGGACTGGGTGATGGCTAGTCTTGCTGTCAAGTTGCCATATCTGGGAAGAGGGAACCTGAGGGATTTCCTCCACTAGACTGACCTGTGGGCGTGTCTATGGGGCATTTTCTTGCCTGCTAATTGATGTAGGAGGGCTCAGTGCATTGTGGGTGGTACCATCCCTAGGCTGGTGAGCCTGGGTTGTATAAGAAAGGCAGCTGAAAAGTCAAGGGAAGCAAGCCAGTAAATAGCCTTCCTCCATGATCTCTGCTCTAGGCTCCTGCTTGAGTTCCTGGCCTGAGTTCCCTCAGAGAAGAACCATCACCTGGAAGTATAAGATAAAATAAAGTCTTTTCTTCCCCTAAGTTGTTTTTAGTCATAGTGTTTACCACACAACAGAGAAACCACACTAGGGCAGCCTGAAATGGTGGTCTCCGAGGCCCTTCAATACCAACAACTATAAGCCCCGGTAATAGGAAAATATTCAGGGACCTGTACTTAAAAAGACAATTCTTGGGGGCTTGGAGAGACAGCTCAGCGGTTAAGAACACTGACTGTTCTTGCAGAAGACCCAGGTTCAATT